ATATTTCAGAAATATTAGGAAATATGAATAGATGTGTACATGAATATTAGAAGGAAGAGAGATATTTTGGAATTTTGGAAGTTATTGTGACAGTTTAGAATGTTTGGAAAATTGTGCAAATATGTAGGAAGTTTGGATGTTGGGAAAATCATGGAAATATTTCCGATAATTTTGAAAATTTATCTCGAAATTTATAGGATATGGTAAGTGGTTTACCACGTGGTGGTGTTGCTGTTTGCACACCATGGGAAAATGCGGCCTCATCGTTCCTTTCAAAGCAGAAAAACAGCACCTTCGAAAAAAATAGACAGCTCTGAACCGAAATGTAGGAAATACTTCAAAAAGGAACACGCAAACAATAGAGAGAATACGGCCTTGGTGATAATGTAAATTCCATTGTATCGTTTTTTTTTGGGAACCTTCTCACGTTAATTGAGGTATGTTAAAAACGATTAGAAATGCTGGAGAGATCGACGTGAAGGTCGCCAATTGTATGGGTTTTGGTAATGGCCTCTTTTTTAATTTCCTTATAGGGAAATATACCACAATGTCACTGGCAAAAACGAGAAATAGTTTGAATTTTTTTGAAATACGCTCCATGGCACTGCGATTTTATCAGAAATGGAAGGAACAGCTAGCTTGTGTAACCGGGGGAAAAAAAGCTAATTTATGTACTTCCAAAAAACCGGCAAGTAGTGAATTTTACCTTTTACGTAACACCTACTCTCACAGTCGCTCGGGGTGCTTGACATTCACCCAGCCTTGAAAATGAATCACTTGGGAGATAATCAAATTGAAAAACAACAGATGGCGCTGTTCCTCCCGGCCTTGATCTGCAGTGCAAAACTGAAAATTTTACGTTCGTGGTGTTGTTAGTCTCGAGTACGATTTTTACTCAATGGAAAGGTCAAAGGTCGCATTTTTAAAACGTTTTATCTCGTTCAATTTCGTTACACTATACGAATCCGGTAATAACTCGACATATCTGGAAAGAAAGAAGGGCTTTTCCTTCGCCCCTTCTGCTGCTACTGCCCGAGGTGAAGCAATTTTCTCGTAAATTGGGCGACTAAAATATTTCCAAAGTGCTCTTAATGATTTCACTAGTAATTATACGGTACCAGGTACTTAAGGCCAAGTTAACTACGCAGGGACGACCAACGTCCAATTATTAGTCGAACTTTTCTATAAATTTGTTACGTAGAGAAACTAATCTTGCTGTATTGATAAATAAGTTGGCGCCATATAATGGCTTTACGCAATGCGAGAAAAGTATGGCAGGGCAAAGCCTGGAGGGGGCCTTTTTGCATAATGCGACTTCAATTTCCCACGTTCGGTGCAATGTGCATATTAGATCAGGTGTCTAAAAACGTGCCCCCCCATCTTGCGGATTAGCTCGACCGCCGCGACTGAATTAATCTCACTTCTATTAACAAACAAGCCACAATTATAATGGGTCACATATTACGAGATAAACTCATTAATAATTAATTTCCTTTTTATAAACATGAAGACATTTTAACCATTACATTAAAGCTTATGACTGATCGCTAATAATCTCTGGCCGTTATAAACAAAAAAAAATTAGAAGGCGACTATCGTGCTCTAAAAACCGTTAACGCTCGTGAAGATGATTAATACGGATACATATCTCGATCATCGATTTTCTTGTTAGAGAAAAAAATTAATCCGGCTCAAAGAACCACTCTGCAACATTGAAATATGTATAATAAAACAACGTTCCTCGGTTTCACTGAAAAAAAAACCGCTTCTCTGTGACCTTTCCGGATACACAGACGGACTGGTATTGTAAACAAACACGTATATTCATAGAAATTTTCTAGATTCCCGAGATTCCTTAAATTCCCTAGATTTACCTAGAATCCCTAAAACCCTAAATTCGATAGATTCCTTAGATCTCCTGTTCCCTAAATTCCTTAGAATCTCTAGGTTCCGTAGCACCTAATTTCAGAAAAAGACGAGCTAATTGCTAGTCACCAATTAACCATTAACTAATCATGATATATATTTATCATAAGGACAACACAATTTTGCAATCGGCCAACAACAATAATTCTGTTGAAGTGACAGTAACTCCTAAAATCGAGTCTAAAGTTATTCAAAAACCAAAGATAAATACAACCCGAGATACAACCAAACTCTACCTATGATCAAAGAAGACCCCGACTCTTGCTTCAATAGAAATATGGAAACCAAAACATATGATGGTGTACAGATGACCTTCCTAAAATCGAAATAGTCATGCAGACGGGGAATGGAAGCTTGTTCCTGCACAAAAGAAATCAAAACACTACAATTGTTGATTCCTTAGATTCCCTAGGATCCCTGGATTCCCTATAATTCCTAGATTCCCCATTTAGCAAGATTGTCTGGATTCTTTAAATTTTCTAGAATCGCTAGATTCCCCAGATTCCTTAAATTCCCTAGATTCAATAAATTGCCTAGATTCGAAAGATTATTTACATTAAATAGATTCCTTACATGCCCTAAATTCCTTAAATGCCACATACACCCTAAATTCCCTAGATTCTATAGGTTAACCTATATTGTCTAGAACTCCTATTTTACCTGGATTCCCTAAAATCTCTAGATTCGCTAGAATCATTTTTTCCTTCGATTCCCTAGCTTCCTTCGATTGCCTAAATTCATAGATTCTATACGTTACCTAGAATCCCTAAAATCCCGAGATTCGCTCGATTCCCTAAGTTACCTAGAATCCCTACTTTCTTTCTATTCCCTAGATTTGTTAGAATCCCTTGATTCATTTGATTCCCTGGCTTCTCTAAATGTCATGGAATTCTTAGATTCCCTTTTCTTTAGATTCCCAAGATTGTTTTGATTCCCTAAAATCCCTTGACTCGCTAGATTCGTTGGATTTCCTAGATTCCCAAGATTCCTGAAATTTTCTCAATTCCTTAAAATCCCTAGATCCTAGTTTCCCTACATTCTTTAGAATCCCTAGATTTCCTAGAATATCTAGATTCCTTAGATTCCCTAAACTCCAGAAAATCGCTAGACTCCGTAAAATAATTTATAGATTCCTTAGATTCCCTAGTGTAGTCGCACTCCCTAAATTCCTTATATTTTCTAGATTCCCTACAATGCCTTGCTTCCATAGATTCTCTAGATTGCCTCTTTACATTTCTTGAATTCCCTAGATTTCCGAAAAATTATCATTTGGAGTGTAAATTCAGTAGTAAAGGCAATCTATACAGGGTGTCGATTCGTGCCATGCAGATATTTCAAGAGATCATAGTACTCAGTGTAAAAAAAGAAAACAGTGCAAATATATGCATGATCTAAAGAACGTCATTTGCGTCATACAGGGTGGCAAAGTTTGAATTTTTGTTCTCGCATTTTGCGCTTTCTCTCTTACGTTTTGTTATAATTGTTTCAAATTTGATACGTAAATTATTTTTTAGAATCTCTACAATAAAGTATCAACATAGTTGGTCGCAGTATACAGAGTGTTACTTTTTCTTTGCCACCCTGTATAACGAAAACGACGCCCTTTAGATCGTGCATATATTTGCATATTTTTCATATTTTGACGAGTACTATCACCCCCTGAAATATCTGCAAAACATGAATTAACACCCCGTATACGTAAAAATGAATGTATGTATTTATGTCCCTTATGCCTACCTAAACCGTTCATCCGATTGCGATGAAACTTTGGGGAATGGTTGGACGTGTGCTCTGCTGATTTGGCAAAATTGCGCGTGGTGAAAGCGAGCGTATGTCCCATCCGGGACCGGACATTGTCTGATAAACGGTACGAAATTCGCCGTATCCGCCAGTATTTGGTAAAATTGGTGTCCAAACACCCCTAAATAGAATTTATTCTTCATATGCATACTTTGGCATATTTAATGTGTGCGCCGATTGCTAACTTCACAAGAAATGCACAAAATGTATTGCTGGCTGGTTATTGCTAACTTCACGCGAGTTTGAGATTCTCTCCTTTCTTTTTTTAAGAGTCGCCTTCAAGAGGTCTTTAACAACTTTGAGTCTGCAACTAAACGAAGCGCCTTAGGAGTACTAAGTCATTAGTCTGTAAGAGTCTTTAATAGTCGCCAAGCTTCCTGAAGCAACTATAAAAGGCTTTTAGAGGATTTCAAGGGTACCCAAGAGCTTTCAGAGATCTTCTTGAGCCTTTGAGAACCTTTGAACGTTAACACGTCTTAAGAAGAGCTTGAAGCTTTTTAAAGGGCTTTAAGAACCTCTAGGTCCTAGGAGTTTTAAGTCTGTACGAGCCTTGCAAAGTTGCCAACGTTCGTCCTTCCGTGTGAAGAATGAGTTAGTGAAAATGCCTTGATGTACAGGAACTAAATTTTGTGCTTGTTTTTCCTATATTTTTGGATAAATTGCTAGAGCATAAACTCGTCTGGAAAAAGGCAAGACATTTTCATGAATAATTAATGAAAATGTAGTGAATTTACTGAATTTTATATCTGTGATAAAAATATTACGAACTGCCTGAAGAGACAAAGGCGCATATACAGCGAGATAAAAAGATGCCTACCCGCTTCCTTATGTAACTGCTATATTGGATCGTTTCATTCTGAACATATTTCCAGTTTTCTCCACTCAACTCTTTGGATTACTTGCATTATTTTCTGTAATTATTGGGCATCTTGCAAGGCAAACATTCACTAGCAACAGTGGACTTAATGTATAATTAATCTAACGGTCGAGTTCGCTAGTGCGGCAATGTAGTTGACTAAAACAAATCGTAGTAAAGCTGCAATGATTTATGAGAGTCACTTACTCCTTTAATTCATTATTCTTATCACGACCTACACGTGATAAAGCATTGTTATTTCTCAACTAGAATGAACTGGCATCTAATCAAACATGTCGCAATCGATAATAAACAGTGTAATGATGTGTCTTTTATATGCACATTGCAAATAACGCATTCGAGTTTGTTAGGAAATTACATGCCATAAAGTGTGTAAGTTAATGGAGGTTATTTTCAGGCCTACCGCCCGTAGCGACGCCGGAAACGCGAAAATTAGGTGAAACCCGAAAAGGGCGAATCGGTTCTTTTTCTATACATATAAGACGATAAAACGGCTCCTTCAAGCGACACGTCGAGAAGGAATGGTATTAGTCATCATCGGCCGGCACTGTTGAGAGGTTTCCGCCGAAGAGTACCGAAACGTGGTAAACTGGCCAATTCAAGACCGAAAACGGTACCGACGATTAAGATTACCGTTCAAAGTAATCAGGTGTTTGACACGGCCCTAAGGAAGACTAGAGTGAAAGTATCGAGTGTAGCAGTGACACTTAAACAGTGGTGGCGGGATGTGGGGCTATGTCCCCGGGCCTCCCGTGCCCCCATAGCCCCCGTCGTGCCCGCCAAAATTCGCTGCTGTCGTCGGCCCCGACTAATGGGCCATTCGCTCAGCATGTGTAAGCTACATCAGTGCCGTCATAAAAAAAGTAAGTCTCAGCATCTCTGGTGCATGGTGCGTGATCTAGTGATGTAAACGTGTCATTTTAACTTCAGGTTATATTTGATGTGAAAGGTCAACAAGTGTCATGAATCGATCACGAAAAGTCGTGAGGTCGTGAGACACAGTAATATCAATTTCCGTAATAGTGAGGAAAAAGGCGCGTAACCCGCTCTCCTTAATCTTTTCAGTTTGCTCCCATCCTTTTGAAATTTCTTACACATACACATTCCTGTTCTGTTTGTATTATTTTCTGAAATTTTCAAAAACATCCGTTAGGGTTAGAGAAAATGACGCCTACCCGCTCCCTTACGTATCTGCTATATTGGAAGCTTTGGGATTAGTCATAACCTCCCAATGCCAAGCATGTCCAAAATATCCTACTCATTTCCATAATTTTTAACCCATTCATAATTTCCTTACACATTACTTAGTTGCACGGTTTTCTATATATTTCAGAAATTATCCAAATGTTTTATTTCTGTAATATCTCGTGTAATATTTAGTATCATAGACTACGATGTATAATTACCACCTCAAGAAACAAAGATGTACATATAGAATTATCAATTGCCGTAACGGTGAGAGAAAAAGGATGTCTACCCGCTCACTTGTGTTGCTGCTATAGTGGATAATTTGGGTCCCAATTCCAAAAATTTCTAACGTTACGATAATTTCCTACCATTATTTTCTAAATATGAACGATTTTGATACAATTTTTTATGATTTATGTATACAACTTCAGCCACTGGATTTCAATAATCAAATTTAAACCTTTTTTGACGTTTTCTTGGCAGAACGAGTTCAAACCAAAAAATTCAAATAAACAATTTTGTTAATTTTTGTGAAACTCAAATGTTCTCCAATGATACCAAGAAAGCGTGGCCTACAGTTGAAGGGTGCCAAGGATCTGAGAATTTAATTTTAAAGAAACGGAAAGATCCGAATAATCTGATAAGTGTGAGGGATTTGACAAATCGAAATAATGTGAAGAAACGTTCAAAGTATTTTATGGCATTGAAGAATGGCAAAAATTAAGAGGTATCTGAAAAATTTCACGAAACTGTATAAGTCCAGGGGTCTTAAGGGACTGCAAGATCTAGTGGATCTGAGGAATCGGAAGAATCTGGAAAGTAGAAAAAGAAATTACAAAATATTAATTCGAAGAATCTGAAAGGATTTTGAAGTACAACTGAAGAATCCAAAAATCCGAAAAAATCTAAAAATAGCGACTTGAAAATCAAAAGAAAGTGAGTAAAAGTCCGGACAATCAAAGAAGCCGAATAATTAGGGAATTGCATGGATTCTTTAAATGTGAGAACCGGTACAATCCATATAATCATATGGATCGGAAGAATTGTATGGATTTGAAGTATTTGCGAAATGAAACTCGAGCATTTTCGAAGATAAGTAGGTAGCCATAAAGTGCAATGCGCATTTACAAGTTCGTCAGACTCATCTATTGCTCCGACTGTGGCGTACTTCATACGTATATTTGCGGGCTCCCTGCGATTGGTTCATTTCGTAGGTACGCGTAGTGATGCGTATCCACTCCCATATGTATTCGCCGTATTAGACCATTCTTTTTTTTGGTTCTTTGTTGCAGATTTTACTTTGATCCTACATTCGAGGTGCTGCGACTCAGTACTGTCGGAAATTGCGCGACTGACCAGAAATTAAATTTTATCGGTTTCCGTCGCGATAACAGATAATAGAGGCCACTGACGTTACTAAAATCTGGATTTTATCTTCTCCATGAGAGGATCTTAAGGAAATGGAGTATTTACAACCGAGATAGGAATCTACTTACAGGGTTGCCAAACTGATCCCACTTTCATGTTAAGCTGTCGTTTTGGAGGGGATATTTTTTGCCAATTCACTAACCGATACGTATCGTCATCGAATCAGAGTACCTTGTGTATTTTTCTAGGTCGTCCATTTCTGCCCCGTCATTGCGATCGGTTGCATTTTACGACAGCCGAAAGTAGGAGTTTCTTACGTACTAAAAACGATCATGGTATATTTTGGGAACCGCTCCTAAAAATAAAGAAGAATGTTGTCGCTTTTGACACGACTCTGAAACGGTCAGGTGTCTATAATACGAATTTACACCAGAGAAATATTTACAAAACCGCAAATAGAAACTAATCGCTCCCTCTGTTTTATGGGGACGGTAATGGCGATCTTGTAGGAAGTACGCGTAAAGCGTCGGACGTTGACGTCACGTCGTCAATAAACGATAAAAATACAATATTTCCGAAATGTGCAGAAACGAATTACTCCGCTGCCGATTTTTCAAAGAATGGCACACAACGATCTGAATAAATAAAGCACTCACGATTACACCGTACAATAAACTAATATTTATTTCAATTATCGACATTGATTAGATAAATAATGCTAAATTACAAGGAGAGCTGCTCACAAATTATCTACACCAAAAACGTGCACACATGTAAACACGGGACGTCCCAATCCGTGGCCGATTCGATGAAAAAACGCACGAGGCGATTTGGTGAGTGCATTCAATAGAATTTGTGACGGAAGCGCCATACGCACGGTCGATTTAAAAACATTAAAATATTCCGCAATTAAGTGGACGCATTTGCATTTCCGACGTTCCTCGACGATCACGTAAGTAATAAAAAAATTGATTGTCATCAATAAATTCCATTTCAATATTATTTAACGCTCGGTATGACATTATGGGAATGAGTGACGTATTCGAGCTTTTCGAGTTTGGAAGGGTTGCGCTCTTTATTATATTTCTTTCATTGGGTTAATGAAGTTCTATACAGGGTTTTTCAATTAACATTCTAGGTATTTTCATATCCCTTTTTGTACGTTGTAATCCTAGCCACGAACGAGGTCACTGTTTCCAATGGAAGGGTCTCAACAGTTTGTGTTCTTAAAATATTGTTCAAATTACGGTAGCGCCTGCCCAATCACGATCAATCTCAAGCACAAGTGGGACCTTTAGTGTTGACAGTTAAGCATTGGACCTTGAACCTTGAGGTTTTAGTCCCGAACCTGAATTTTTGTGTATTTAGTGTCGAGTCTTTCAATGTAGAAGCTCGGTTCATTTCGAACCTTGAATTATTCCTCTAACCTTTAACACTGACCTTAAGTGTCGAAGTTTTGGTTGAGATTCATTGTAAGTACTGGATTCTTACGTGTAGAGCCTTTAATCTTGCAGGTAAAAGTTATGCTTGTTAATTGTGTTTCTTGAAAATGTTTACCTTGCACCTTTAGTTTTATATCTTAAATCTTCTTCAGTTCAAATATGGAACCTTAAAACCATATAGGTTATCTTTTGTACCGGAAGTCAAACTGTCAACCTCGAATTTTAAAAAAAGGCCCATATTCATATATCGCACGAATCTTGCCGAATGGGTTCGTGCGCATTCGTCCAAATTCGTTCGACGTTAGTATTTCGGCCCACATACATCCGAACAACCACTCGTATATTTTCGCGGGTGTATAGCCATTGCGATTACTGTGGAAAACCGCAGCCGCACACACTCGGAAATATACCGAACGAATTCTTCGCGAATTTTCTGTGGTGTGTCGCCTGGTGAGCGAAAACTAGAGGATGCAAACATATTCGTTTGCTTGTGATTGGTTGAACGTATACATTAGCCGAACGAATCGATTCGGCCGAAGTCGTTCGCTATCGGCTATAGGAACCTTATCGCGATTTGCGTCGGAAGAAAGGGAATGCCTTCGACAAATGTTATTGATAGCGGTGACAAAATTGGCCAATAGAATACTGATCTGCCCAACAAAAATCGGCCGATGGTCTTTATTTCATAGGTACAAAAAAGTAGGCAAAACTGGACTGTTCTTCATTTCATAGAAAAAATGTTCATCATTGGTCGAATTTGAATAGGACACTAAAATGTAGATCTGCAATGTCATTAATTAAATTTAAATTAATTTTTAGTAAACAAAGGGATCAACAGGCCCTCAGAGAAAATATTAATACCAAAACAGGCTTCCGCAGAAAATAACGGACCTATAATCGTTAAATGAATCTCAAACAAAGATAGTAATTACAATTCGATTATATGGAAAACCATTAGGTGATCAACCGCTATATCAAGGAATTATCTTTTACCTTTGAACTTCGGGCCGCAACCTTGTGTGCTCAAAAGGTACAAAACGCAACTAAAAAATTGTAGATATCGGATTCGGATGTGCGTCTGTAACTAATTATAAAGCAACGGTAGCCAATATCTCAAATGACACAACTAATCTGAAGGATACAATGTATATTCTTTTAGCGGCACCGGTAGTGTAAGTAAAATCAGATGTATGGGAGCAATTCACAAGGCGACAATCTCCAAAGGGGTTTCGTTATTACTTGCGGATAGGAACTATATCGAAGTGTAGGTAAACAAATTCCATGTCGGGAGATCACACAGCTTAAGGTTGGTAGAATTTCTCAAGCCGGTAATGCAGAAATACCCATCGCGCGCCAATACCAATACCAATCCTAATAAGAGGGCGAGTACAGGTAAAATTGCGAAGTCATTCACGTACTGCGTACGTAGTAGGTAATATTCAGGTAGATCATAACTTAAAGCTTTGAGAGAAGCAAATACAAATCTGTAAAATGCTTCAATGGACCACAGACACAGACATCAAGAAGAGAAAGAGAAACCACTACAAAGATATATGGTAAGAACCAAAACAATAATCCCTTTATACAGGTAAGACACGAAGTCGGTAAAAGTAAAGGCGTGGCAAGAGAAAAATAATTGGCATGTAATCAATGCGACGGCAGAAACTTCTCTACCCACTGAAATGGAAGGAGCGAATGCGTAAACAGAAAAGAAAAAGAAAGGGATAGAATTAGAACTACTATGCACGACCTCCGTCGGCGAAACAAAGAACCTAAGTAAAAAAAACTACTACAGCGAAAATAAAGAACTAAGGTAATCCGATTTCTACTACAGGAACAACTTACATCTTTAAGCTAGTGGATTACAAAGACGATGGCGTGAGAATATCAATTACCTATACATTAGAGTAAGAATTCAAATAAGAGTACAAATCAAAGGTTACTTAAGTGGAATTTAAATCAGGAATATCAATCGAAGAGAATAACGTTACAGCATGCTTGGTCGAATTTGCGCCGAACTCACCTGCGGTTCGCTCGGCGATCGTAGATCATTCCGTTTAATTTTAAAAATGCCTTAGATACTTCATTTCATAGGGAAAAGAAAGTAGGCAAACTTGAACTTTGAACCTTTATCTTGAACCTTGAATGTGTTGTTTTTAATCTTGAATCTCGAAACTTCAGTTTTGTGTTTAAAACATTGCATTGCAAACTTCGAACCTTCTGTCGTAAACCTTCAACCTTATGCACCTTTGAAATTTGGAGCTTTTTTCAACCTTAAACCTTTGAGTCGTTAGTTTCCAGCCAGAAGCCTTAAATCTCCAACCTTGAGTCTTCAGTTACTGCTTTACCTTAAATTTGGTATCTTCAAGCTTGGATTTTGACTTCTCCTTTCTCGATTTTGGAATCATGAACTTTCTTCTGGAACCTTCACGGTATGATTCTTCAGTCGTTGAATTTGAATATTGAACTTTTAGTCCTCAGCCTGAAGTCCTATGTATTGAGTAAGTCAAATGGAAATTTCCATCTTTGAATTTGAATACTGAACCTCGGATCCTGATTTGATTCTTGTATCTTGCGAATAGCTAAATTAATGCGTGTTTAATGGCTTCAATATATTAATATGTCGGATTACCTGCTGATTACACGTGATGAATTTGATCTTGAAAACATTAATTTGTCTTATTTTGGTCGGATTTGATTAATCCGTGCGACCTTTCCGATCACCTGTATGTTGCAATCGGCGAAGGATGGTGGCGTATTATTATAAGCACAGGTGTTCAGTTCGCAGAACCTGTCCACGAAATCGCGTCGGTTTAGGCCGTAACCTTAACACAGGCCAACCAAAAAAAAAATCGTTTCAATTACCGAAAAAAAACGCCAGGCGAGGTTTTATTACCTAACGCCGGCAAATAGCTCAAGGATTCGAAACGTTTGCTAATTATGAGGAAACATTAATTTAAATTCTTTGCGTATTCCACGCGAGTGTGGGTTAATAGCACATTTCCACATCTGCATAAATTGTTAAAAAGCGGTATTGTTTTTTCGCGTTTCGACGCGGTCACGTTGTCGCGCGCGCGATTTCCCGACACCACGCGGTCGACCACATGCGGCCCCGCGTGTGAAGGAACTTTCGCGAATGTCAGTCATTCATTATCGGCCACTCCATCACTTACTACTACTGTTAGGAATTTCTTAATAAGAGCATGACGCAGAACTTCTCGATGAAACAAGTGGGACCTTGTTCGGGTAGCAACGAAAAATAAGGTCAAGTGCGGCCGGCGAAATCAATAATTAAAGATAAAAAGAAAGGAGCACCACCTTCGTAATTAGATTACCGTTTTTCTCACACCTGGTAGGCAACACATCGTACATGGTAATTTTCGAAATTCGACTAGTTCGCTGAAAATGCCCTTCGTAGGGCCATCGCCTTGTCTGTGAAGAACGCGTTTTCGTCGCATTTAACCCATCAATATATTGTGAAGAAATGAAATTTTTGTTAACGAAGTGCGTTTTGTTTCAGGCTTGCATTTGCGCAATAACGAAGAGTCTCGGATGCCCGCTGAAGGGATTGGAGGAGAGTCGGGATTACACCGACTGCACCGCCAATTTAATTACGATCCCGAATATGGACGAATGGAAGCGTGGCTCGACGAACATCCAGATTTTGTGCAGGATTACTTTTTAAGGTACACTTAGTAGATTTAAAAAAAAAACACTATAACGTTGCTTTGGTAACACTGATGGTCCAGAGAGAGGGGGGCATGCAAAGGGATGAAAAGTACACAATCTTCGAAAATTGATCCTGTGTACCTATGCCTTTTTAGTTTCATGTGTCGTATTGCCCAATTTCTTCGCAGTTAGACTTACTTTCATAATAATGGCTAAGGTTTGGGTTTGAGGTTAGTAATAGCATTCAAGCAATAGATTCGTGAAGTTTAAACCCCCAACAATGATCATAAAACGTAAACCACCCCCAACTTCTAATAGAGCAACTTTGCCCTGAAAGTCTCAATTTTTGCATTTTGTATTAAAAGAAAAATGTGAGCAACAATCGACTAATTTTACTTACTTTACCCTTCGACAATGATTGTCAAACGTAATACGCGCCCTTCTTTAATGGAGCAATCTTGCCTAGAACCAATTGCGGAAAATTTTTTTGTTTTAAAACAATCATTCTCACCTCCACCCCCACTCTAAATGGAGTAACTTAGAAAGTACCAAGGGGAAAATCACTATAGCATTTTGGTGCACACTGCTAACATTTTGTAAATTTTCTAAAATCGTTAGCGGTTTTTTTTTTAATTTTTTAGAACTTCTCGAATTTGTTTCCGAACACAATTCTTATTTTACACAATTTTTAGAATTATAATGTACGCAAATTTGTAGTGGGTTACCCCGAGGAAAGATCACTGTAGAAGAACACTACTACTCGCATTTTGTATGATTTTTTTAGAATATTCTAACACGTTTTGTAGAACTTCTTGAATTTTTTGGAATTTTTTTCCGAACGCACATGCACACAATTATTGTTTTATACAGTTTCTGGAATTTTTTTAGAATTTTTGTGTCTTTAAAGTGGTTTATCCTTGACGGAAATTACTGTAGAATTTTGGTGTACATTACAAGCATTTGGTAAATTTTGTAGAACTTTTTAGAATTATTCTAGAATTTTTTAGATATTTTAGAATTTTCTAGAATTGTTTTAGAACTTTTCGAGAATTTTTTTAGATTACACAGAATTATTCACACAATTTTTAGAATTATCTAGAACTTCCATAATTTCTTTTAGAATTTTAATGTACACAAATGAAGTGGATTACCCCGAAGGAAAATTACTATAAAATTTTGGTGTACAGGGTAGTTCTAATTCGTTGCTGGGATCTTGGTAACGGCGAGAGATAGAATGTAGGTTAAATGAAGCCAAAGTTGTGACTAAGAATCGCATTTGAAATTTTTGAAAATAACCGGTCACCGAAAAACTGAAAATGTCAAACTTCGTTTTTATTTTCCCTGGATAACCGGTCGGAAATGAAACGTTCCCTTTAGCACCTGTGGGCACTTTTTTTTTCGAAGAATCTGAATCTGTTATCAGAATTTCCATAACACGCTAGATATAGAAGCTGCAGGCTAATTTCTTACGCACGCCATATTGGAATTTACGGAATGAGATAGAGGACAAAAAAGGGTTTTCGCCTTAAGGCGAGTAACCTTAGCGCATTTTCCATGAATTAATTAGTAGGATCAGAGGTTGCCATGTTTGTCAATGCACAGAAAAAGCAAACAAATTGATCCTTCCCCACAACTGTTTCGGAGTGTGAACCCATTTTAATCACTATTGAATGTGTGCCATAATGGTCTAGTGCCAAGGACTTTCGGTTTGCACCCGCGCGGCTAGGGTTCGATTCGTAGCAGGGACAATTTTTATTCTTTTTTTTTTTCAAAAAAATACGTACCCTAATTCAGCGAAGTTGGACATTAGGTTATTTGTAGATTTTGCATTGTCTTCTCAAACGCTGCCGACTTTTCCAAAAAGATAACGCGTATGCTATTTACGAATCGGCCGCACTGGACTAACTGGCGTTGAAGTGTGGTCTTGGGAGTGTATTTTTTTACCTGCAATTGCTCAATCTTTCTGCAGCAACCACAATGTCGCAGTGTCGCCCATTGTTTGGCTTTTGGGCATAAATTTACACGAATTTCAAAATCAAATAAAACTTGATCTTGCTGGAATCAGCATGGCTATGATGGCGATGCATTAAAATGAAATTCTTTTTTGTCCTCCGTCTCATTCCATAATAATCCAATATGGCGTCCATAACAAATAAGATAGTAGTTTCTAGCAGCTTCTACATCTATTGTGTTATGGAATCCTGATAACAGATTCGGATTCTCCAAAAAACCTCCCTGTACACTGCTATTGGTATTTTATCCAATTTTCTAGAATTTCTTGGGAACGTTTCTTTAATTTTTTAAGAATTTTTCTTGAATTTTCTATAATCCGAACGCATATGCACCAATGCACCCACAATTATTATTTTATACAATCTTAAGAATTTTTGTAGAACTTCTTGAATTTTCTAGATTTTTTGCGAACGCATATGCACACACAATTATTATTTTATACAATTTTTAGAGTTTTTTAAATTTTTTTATAATTTTAGTCCATTCAAAATTTTAAGTGATCTGCCTGGAAGGAAAATTACTTTAGAATTTTGTTGTACACTACTACTTTCATTTTCTAGAAGTTTTTTTGAACTTGTTGAATTTTCCAGATTTTTTTCCGAACGCATATGCATACACAATTATTATTTTATACAATTTTTAGAATTTTCTGGAATTTTAGTGTACACAAAATGTGAAGTGGTTTACTTCTCGGCAAAAACCACTTTTTTCATTTACACTTTTGTGATTTACCCTACTTTAATAGGCGACAATGATCATAAAACATGTCCATCCCACTCATTACGGAACAACTTTAAAGTTCCGCGATTTTGAAGAGCCCTTAAGAACCCTTACAAGATAAAAAAAATGGGCTTCTAGCAATAGTTAGATTTTGCATATCTCTTGTGAACAACAAAAAATATGCATATGCATAATAGAAGTGTTAGGGCGCTGATTACATCAAATGGTGTGCTTGATATTAAATCTGCAAACCTCGTCCCTTAAAAAACGCCAATAACATTGATACGCATGAAATATGTGCAGATTTAATATTAATCACTTTGAAGTATTTAAAAAAACCTTGAGGATTTCACACTGTTTTAGTGTGTATTATAAAGGTTGATGTGGAAACTGGAGTAACAAGAATTGGATGTTAGTAAACCTTAATGCAATCTTAACTACTAACGTTTAAATCTGAAGCTGGGGGCGTGGAATTTGGAGTTGGAAAGTAACCTTGAATGTCAAAAGTTCCTAAATAACATTTTTGACAATGTCATTCACTAGAAACGGGCGAAATTCGCACTTATGGTAACCTTAGAACCTTGAAGATTCTCTTAATATTTTCTTATATGGTTTGCATATTTTTGCATATTTATGGTAAAGTAATTAAATATGCAAATTTTTTGCTGGTCTAACGAAATTTCACTGATAAATAGGCGATTTAAATGTGTACAGTTTGTAAAGTCACTACGGGAAGTGGGTGCCACTGATAATGGGAAGATACAACGGAAATGCGAACGGAACACGGCTCCGAATTAATAATTGCGGGCAGTTTTTTCCTTATTTACACAGAAACCGCAATATGTGTTGTTATTTGAACTGTTTCCCCCAGAAAGGCGACCCGTCAAGTGGTGGACGCGTGGTTGGTATCGCACGCGACGCCGACGTCGTCCAGCGTGGAGCTGTCGTCGCCGACCCACCATCAGTCGCGAGGCGGCTCCGGCGCGACGACCCCAGTCCGAAAAATATCCGCCCACGAATTCGAGCGAGGTGGCCTTCTCAAACCCATCATCAGTACCATCGACGGAACGCCGACGTTTCTCACGAGTTCCTCCGACGATCCAATCCAAATTTCCGGTCACAGTCCGACGCCGGTGAGGAGGCAGCGACGGTCCCGTCACGAGCTGCGGCAGCTGGACGAAAAGGAGCTCATTTTCGAATTGGTTTGTATGTTGCCACCGGCGCCGGGTCGCTGCTAAAGCTTCGCTCTCAGGTCAAAGACATTTGCAATGAGCTCGAAATCCGTTCCCTATGCCATAAAATACTACAGAACGTCTCGACGCTTCTCCACGCGGATCGGGGATCGTTGTTTCTTGTACAGGGTGAGAAGGGGGGCGGTTGCACGCCCTTGCCGCCGGGTGAAACTCTCCGCGGAAGGTGTCTAGTCTCAAAATTATTCGATGTATGTTACAAAAGTACCTTAAGTGAAATGGAGAAGAAGGAGGAGATTCGGATACCTTGGGGTACCGGTATTGTAGGCTACGTGGCAGAAAGTGGAGAACCTGTCAATATCCCGGATGCGTATCAGGTAGGCACTTGTACAGCAATTGTAGGGAAATAACAGCATTTTGGTACAGGATGACAGATTCAATCACGACATCGATGTGCTTACCGGTTACAAAACCCATTCTCTTCTGTGCATGCCGATCAAAGACACCAACGGCGACGTCGTCGGCGTGGCGCAGGTAGTTCCCAAGTGCGATTGCTCCAACCTAACCATCTCTCCTATTAGGTGATCAACAAAATTGGAGATACACCGTTTACTCAACAGGATGAGCAAATATTCTCCAGCTACCTCCAATTTTGCGGGATCGGTCTGAGAAACGCGCACCTTTACGAGAAGTCGCAGCTGGAGGTGAAGAGGAACCAGGTCCTATTAGATTTAGCTCGGATGATATTCGAGGAACAGAGCACAATTGAACACGTTGTATATAGGATACTTACGCATACGCAAAGCTTAATACAATGCCAGAGGGTACAGGTGAGTTTCTCAGAAATTTATTTGTTTATAACTATAAAAATAGTAATAAACGTAGATAGAAATCATCAAAACATTTAAAAAATAGTACTTCAACCTTGTCCTTGATAGAAAAACAATGACTAGGCAATTGAATTGGTTCTATCGATGACTTGTATTAATTACATAATCTACGCTGTTGAGCAGGTTAATAAAGATTAATAGACATATCAACAATAACAACGATTATTATCTGGTGGTTTTAACTAAAAAACTAGTGGGTTTGATCCAAGTCTGTGGGAGGTGGGTCGCCGAAGGACTTCACCACCGAGTTGCTGATGAGTTTCTTGTTGGGAAGAGCAGTACATGTCTTATCTTGGTCATAGCTAAATCCACGATTTTGTAAACTTTCCACGAAGACATCTTGGCCAGGTGCTACCTAGCACAGTGTTTTATGTACTGGTGGAGGGTGGGAGTTTTCAGACTGCAGCTACCTTTTTCGGTTTTCGGTTTCTAACTTTCATTTTCCGCCACTTCAATTTTCTAACTGTTGGTTTCAAAAGGATGGTGCACCCTCGTGCGAGAACAGTTTCCAATGCTACTCAATACAGTGTCTACTTCTTTTACGGGTCATATAGAAAATGATGTTGATGATTGAGTTCGAAACGAGACGTTGTATTGAAAACCTTTAAACGGTGTCCTGCAGAGCTCAAAAAGTGGCAATGAGAAAATTTGTTTTTCTTGTATCTGTGTTTTCAGGATTTTCAAAATTCACCAATCACAATTTGACTTGATAAGGTCAGTTTCGAAAGAACGCGTACCCACTTACGCCGAAATAACGCGCACATCGTAAAACACCTGCATCTTCTAACGGCGATAAGAACACGTGCGTTAATTACTTCAGACAAACTAAAACAAAGTTACGGCAAACTCCCTAGCGAGAATGAAAGCAACACAATACAAATTAATTAGCGGTGTCTACGGAAAACCAAATGCAGGAAAGCGAAACAATATCCCCCCGTTTGTAATTAATGGAACAGGAACTAGCAAAAAGCTTACTTTGCAATCAAACGGAGCAGTAGAAGTTACTGTACAAGAAAAAACAAAAGCGATTATTACAGTGCGGCAAACTTTATGTAAAATAAAAATCAAACGGCACCGTTGCCAAAGTAAATTTATGGAAAAGCTCAAAAAGAACGACACGTAACTTGCGAAAATGCAAAAGGCAAAGGATCCCATCTAAATTATACTTTACCTTTTATAAAACAGAAATGTGTGGTAATGCTCGTTTTGAATTACAATAGGAAACAAAAATCTGCTAACAATGGCTTAACGTGTCTGAAATATTCATTTGCCTTAGTCTTCTAAATCAGAAGAGCTTTCGGACGCAACAAAAGCAATGGAAATATCTTAACGGGTACGGTTGCAAACGGCGGATTAATTACAGCTTTTGTTTACGGTAACGGCGGGCGGTTGAAACACAACTCTAGAAATGAAATCAATTACCTTTAAATTCTATCTTCAGCTCTTAAACCTACAGAAATACGTCACCACACTTTTCGTAACGAAGCGCCCAACGTAAAAGTTTCTAGATACCGGGTGTACACGTACCGCGTGGTCATGAAAGTAGGTAAACTTTGACGCGGAAAATAGGTGCTGCGTTACGTTGTGTCTATTGGACAAACCGCCACTGATTGGAATGAAACAATTGCCGGATAATCGCTACAATCCTGTAATAATTGCTACAATTTCCAGAAAATTTTGGAATATACGGGACATGCCATGTTTATATTAATTATTTGTTTTGGCCCCTTCTCTCACTCATCTTTATTGCTCCCTCTTCTTCGGCACGTTAGGTTTATTCTTTTACATTATTTTTTCCTTCAAGCTTTAGAGTTCTCCGTCTTGTTATTCTCAAATCCTTATGAACTTCTTCAGCGTTTCTAACTTCCTTTTAAGTATCTCGTAAGTTTATTTGGATTTTCCTGAAATTCTCTTCTCCATTTGTTCTTTAAGACCTCCTGCAGTTCCTTAAATTTTAGTTCTATTTTCTATTAAAAATGATCCCCTCAAGCTTTATCCAATTTATTGCTCAAATGTCGTCACGTTGTGCTTCCCAAACTATACTCAATGTCTCCCCCATCGTCCGTAAAAAATTCTTATCACAAATGACCAGATGTCCCTACATTTTAACACGCAATTTCACATTTACAATTGCTGTGTATTTATCTATAGTTTCCAGGTTTGTTTTGTCTTGTTTCCCGTTCCCAAATCATGGCAGTTTCGCCCAATCTACCTACTTTTTTCTATGAACTATTAAACTAAATCCCAATGCTGTCTTGCGGATGCCATTGTTATTTTAACCGGTTGGACTCTTTCGCCACGCCGCGCCGCGACGTTTTTGTCGTTTCGGTCCCGTTACGAAATGGTGTACTCAGAGTTGGCCTCGGTTCCCACTCCCATGAAGGATTCATAACCAATAATTAGGATCGAAAAAAGAGGTGAAAAATTTCCCTAAAAATAGGATACCAAAATATTGCTGGGTGCAATGACGTGCGGTCACTACGCCATTCACAAAACACCTGTCGAGTCAATGGCAATGTAGACTTTAAATTAACAATTTGGGAGACTCGATCGACCTCCGTAAATTGTAGAGAATTAACTACAAACATGACACGTGACAATTCTTGGACATGAAAAGAAAAATCTGACATGAAAAACTATCCGGGTCGCACACTGGATTCGAATAAACACACAATTTAATTGATTGACAGACATATTTATTCCGAAACACGCAAAATCCCTGAAGAAAGCTTTCAAAGCTCATTACCCCGTGCGCAGGCGTGCGAGGAACAAATAAATTAAGTCTTTTGAATTACTGCAGTCTTTTCTGAACAATCCAAGTTCGGTATTTTACTGTTGGCTATGTCTCACATGGCGCAGATATAGTGGCCGTGGGCTATATCCATAGAATATATAAGATCTCAGATTTGGGCGTACAATGTTTGCGATATTCACTTAAACTGATATAAAAACACTCGCTGACGGCTTTAGAAAACTTCGCACGGAATTAGATGACTGACAAACTTGCTTTATGAATTATGAACAAATTTTATGTGGCTGCTCGGACGGTTGAAACTTTTACTAAGGCCTCGCTGTAATATAACTGTTTCCTTTTTTAACTCGTCAAAACACGCGTTAAACTTCTTAAGTACACAACTATGATAACTTGCTTCTGTACAGATTTATTAAAAAAAAATGATGAACTGCGTCTTCGACAAAACACATCGCACTGACTGTCAATATTTTAGCGTAAACAGACGCTTTTTTTTACCGCCGCGAAAACTAGCAGCAGCAGATTTTACTCGTTATCTCCAGTATTTAACGAAACATCACTGTCACCATAAGGAGTTTAAAAACATAATTAGACTTGATAACGCAAGCTTCGAAGGAACGCGTCTCATGTCCCCAGTTACGCCGATAAAGACATGCGCGTTAATTAAATTTCTGTCTGATAAAAACTCTTTTATGGCAAAAGACGAGATTAACCTTAATTTTAACACAAAATTTCACGTTTTACAATTAAATACACAAATTTAAGTAAACAATTTTACAGAAGCGATAAAATTTAAACAAGCGTTACGCAATTACAAACAATTCCAAAAGGAAAAGCAACACTGAGACACAAATTCAGATACAATAAACCAACTATATGTTTATTTGGTAAAAATAATCCAGGTCAAGTATTGTTTTCATTGACAGCAAGATAATTCACAGTCTAACCCACGGCCCGCGGGCCTAGTCCGGCCCGCTAACATAATTCATAATATCGCTTATTCAAAAAACTAAGAATCTATTATGGTGAAAATGGCCTTGAGTATTAATTAATTAGGAAAAGTTAGTCCAATTGCAAGTAACGATCTTTTCAAGAAATCTGAACCTCCTCATTACGCTAGTGAAATTAACATTTTTGCTTCGCCACAATTAAATTATTTCCAGCTAATTAGAGTTGTAAATTGCTTGAATGAAAGGCCACTTCATAACTTAAGTGGATTTACTCTGAATAGTGCGCTGATGAGTAGCGACTACGATGACACAATATTTCATTAAGGAGTTGTTGGAATTGTTGCGAAACGCGTTTAACGAATAAAATTTATGAATCGGTCTGATTAGGGTAATTTTACAGGTACTTCTCGTTCACGAGGTGTCCAAAGGCAGTTTTTCGCGTGTATTCGACTTCGAAGCGAGCGATCTCAACGCGGAGGAGGGCGAATCGAGGACGAGGTAATTTCTCCACTTTGGTCTTGTAAAAATTTCATCTTGGTATTTTCCCTTACAGTCCCTTCGAAAGTCGCTTCCCTATAAATATCGGAATAACTGGTTACGTCGCGACGACGGGTGATGTACGCAACTTTGATTTGTAGCAATTGCATTAACTTGACAGAGCGCTTTTGCAGATTGTAAATATAGCGAACGCGTACGAGGATTCGCGCTTCGATTCGTCGGTGGACGAAGGGACCTGCTTTAAACATAAAGGTGTGCTATGTATGCCGATTAAGAATTCGATGGGACATATTGTCGGTGTTATTCAGCTAATTAATAAGTTTAACGACTTGGCGTTTACGAAGAACGATGAGAATTTCGTCGAGGCCTTCGCAATTTTCTGCGGTATGGGTATACACAATACGCACATGTACGAAAGGGCGGTTGTCGCAATCGCCAAACAGAGCGTTACCTTAGAAGTATTATCTTATCATGCGACTGCGAGTATAGAAGATGCTCAACGAATAAGAGTAAGTCGGACTTACTGACGGCGCAAACTTGAGTTTGAGACTTGTCCCCTATTTTGGATCTTCTGCAATCAAATTAAAAACAATTTTTAATAGAGCGAATTCGACTCTTACGGCGGTGTTAATTAGAATGTACGCGTGTGACTCAAACTCTGGCCTTGACGCTGACAGTATAAACTCATACTGAGACTTATCGTTTTAGGCCTTACGAGTTCCATCGGCCGTGTACTTGGGTTTGCATAACTTCGCATTTGATGATGTACATTTGAGTGACGACGATACTATTACAGTAAGGTACTCATTTACCGTCCCTATCTAATTCCCGTTTTTCCGTAGTCTTGTGTTAGAATGTTCCTTGATTTAGATCTAGTCGAACGGTTTCATATGGATTACGAAGTATTATGCCGTTGGTTGCTGTCCGTGAAGAAGAATTATCGCAATGTCACCTATCACAATTGGAGGCACGCTTTTAATGTTGCGCAGATGATGTTTTCAATTCTAACCGTGAGTATCCTACGGGTTTTAGCGGAATTTTGATTTTTAACTGAATTACAGACAACTCAATGGTGGAGTATACTGGGAGAAATCGAATGTCTAGCATTAATGATCGCGTGTCTTTGCCATGATTTGGATCATCGGGGGACAAACAACTCGTTCCAAATCAAGTAAGTGCCAACATTACGCGCCCTTCAATGGCTGATACAAGTTCAGAAGTTTAGTGGAGACAGTCTATTTCTAAAGTGAATTGCTATAAATTGCAGTTAGATGTCAACTTTTGGCAAAGGGAATTGTTATTTTGGCATTCAGTCAAAATGGAGTCTTTAAGAAGGTGCTTGTTCGCGGCATTACATAAATTTGATAAATGGCTAGGGAGACTAAAATAGCTTCAATATTATATTCACTCTGCACTCAGTTCATTTACACCCAAATCCCTGCCAGAAGTTGCACTCTTGATGATGAGTTTCAGAAGAATGCAGAATTTTTTGGAACACCATGTATACCTGAAGCCAATATTTTTAATGTGGCCAAAAAAAAACTCAAATATATCAGCTTTATTTTTCTTCAAGGAGAATTTCTTTCTCCTACTCGCACCTTCCTACACTATAGGCGATACCACTGAACTAGAGTTCAGCAGGTGCTAATTGGAAAAATCTTTGAATATATTTGTGTTGTGTCCATTGCCTATTTTTGATGAATTCTGGATTCTATATTATTATGAAAAACACCACAATAATATAAAATTCAACCTCTGCCGTGCTGGGAAAAATTTCAATTAACAATTAATTTACCCACCGCTAGCAAGTTTGACCCTTTATCTCCTCTTAAAACCTGAAATTCAAAATCTAATGCTTAATACTCTCAGACATATTTTCGTTCATGTTCGCTATGAAGCGGTACATGCTTAAACTCGAATAAAAACAAAAGTGATCAAGTTCCACTTTTTTTACACGTTCTCGAATGTCAAGTAATCGCCAGACATATTTTCGTTCATGTTCGCTATGAAGCGGTACATGAGTACCTTTTCCTATGCCGGACAAAATACAAATTCGAAAAAATACTGTTTTAGTTCTAATGCGACCACCCGAAAACACCGCTCATTACTCTTTTGCAGTCTTTTTTTTACTGAATAAGGTTTATAGGCAAACTTGTTCATCTTGGGTTGTTGCTGATATGGATGAGATATCATATAATATGGATGCCTCGATCCCTTGTTAATGGAATCATTTCGGACGATGAAGATGAACTTTAAACATCTCATCTCATCTGAGAATTTACCATACGGTCTATTCCACGACAGATGGTGCGTTGATTTTTCTGTCACTGGCTGGGCTTTTCGCAAAATGGAACGTTACTTTTACATCCGAAGAGATCCTGACAACTGGGTGCGTTTGCCGCAATACGTTTCTTGATATTGCTTGTTATCGCTAGACATATTTTCGTTCTTGTTCGCTATGAAGCGGTACATGTGTAAATTTTCCTATGCCGGACAAAATAAAAAATGGTTTTGTCGTAGAGATAAGATTAGTGATTTTTCCTTATGAGGATTCACGTAAAAATCCTCTGCTTTATGAGCTTTAAAGCAGAAGGTTCCTGAAACAATTGCACCATGCACAAATATTAGCAGCTGAAGCTATTCAAGGCCGAGTGAGGCAAAGAATGACGTATATATCTCATATTTTCATGTTGTGTAATTGCACTGTTCACAATTAAAAACTTTGGAAATGTTGTGCTTTAAACGACGATTTCTTAAATTTTACTTGTTGTTGGTTGCATAATTACACTGGTCACATTTAAATTTTTGAAAGTAGATAAAATGTTTTAAAACTCCTTGCGCTTTAAGGTGTATTGCAAATAAAATTTTTTCATTTACTTTTACGTTGTAAAAAAGAAACACTATAAAAATGCCAGTCTTCTCCCAACTGAATTTATTACAATGTGCTGCCACCAGAGGTCCCACCGTTACTTGGGATCGCGTGTACTTACAGTTGGGCACTCTGGGCAACAATTAAAGCACCATCTAACTTTCATGTCAAAATGTCGGACCACTTTCAAATCTCCGTAGCACTCTGCTAGTACTGGGTGGTACAAATGGGACTCCTGCTGTTCTCTACTATTGCGGTCTTTTATACCGGGTGAATATTTCAAAACCGAACGTAGGGAATTAACATGGGAAAAAGGTTTTTTGCAGATCATTGCTCCCGATGTTAACTAAATAATGATAACAATTTAAAGAAGATTTTTTTTCTCATCTAATGATATGCGAATTAGTTCATTTTAGTTGTATTTCTGATTATTTTATCAAAAATTCGGCAATAAATCATGTTGCTTAACTTCCCTAGGAATTCAAATTCTTCGCTTATCCCACACAGCACACATATCAAAAATGTACACGTTGTTATCGCCAAACATACTTTGGTTCATTTTCGCTATGAAGCGGTACATGCGTAAATTGACCTATGTTGAGCAAAATACAAATTTAAAAAAATAGTTTTTAAATTTAAAGCTTAGTATTTTTGAGTTGAGGCCCCCTCCACGCCTTAAGCGGCGACCTACCTATAGTTCTCTGATGAGTGTGATACTGGGGTTGAGATAATTATCGTCATTTTAAATATCTCTGATTTCAGTGTTGGTTTCAAGGGCCCGTATCATCGCCATTATAGGTGTGGTAAGATGTTCAACTCTTAAAAGCTACAAAGCGCGCAGATTAATTTTTTTTAGCATACTTTTATTTCTGGTGGGTTGCTTAGTAGTTCGGAAGTCTGACCTTTCAGGGTCCTCCTTGCTGTTCTTACTAATATTTTCTCAGATTTTCGTCTGGATCCAGAGGTCCATACCATCCGTCCTTACAAAAACAAAATTTTAATCGAACCAACGGATGGTATTACTGAAATTAAATGCAAATCCCAATCGACAATTCAAAATAATCCAAATTCTTTGTTTGGATCAATAAATGAAATACAAATCTGCTCATGCAAATAATTCCCATGGGTCGATTCCTTAAGGGAAAATTAAAATTACATCAAACAAAAACCAATAATTCCCCAAAATAATCGACCACTTCCGTTCATGTTCGCTATGTAGCGGTACGCGTGTAAATTTTCGATAAATTCGAATTTAATTCCAACCAACCAGACTACACTCTGCTTTTTTTTTAAATCGATTTAGTTATGCGCCAAGCACCAACACCAATCTTGAATTTCAGAGCATCCTCGCCGCTGGCACAACTTTATTCAACATCCACCATGGAGCATCACCACTTCGACCAGTGCATCATGATCCTAAACTCGCCAGGCAACCAACTGCTATCTAACGTCTCGTCGGACGAGTACACGCGCGTCATCAAAGTGCTGGAGGAGGCGATTTTATCCACCGACTTAGCGGTTTACTTTAGGCAAGTGTAGCGGCTCGCGCGCGATGCTTTTCATTAATTCGAAAGTTCACTTTGCAGAAAGCGCGGTGCCTTTTTTAACGTCGTCGAGGAGGGACCACACTGGGGATTGGAGGAGCATCGCGATCTACTTAGGGCGATGCTGATGACCGTTTGCGATCTAGCAGCTATCACGAAACCTTGGGAGGTCGAGAAACGGGTCGCCGAGCTCGTGTCGTCCGAGTTTTTCGAGCAGGGCGACATGGAACGCGAAGAACTGAATATCACTCCAATAGTAAGTGTTTTTTTTTGCGACGCAAGTTTGAAGCTTATCTACAGTGGGAACAGTATAATATAAAGGCGATTTATAAACTTTGATATTGACCAATGGAAAAAGAGTACCCATTTGGCGCGCAAATTAGTGTCAAAGTCAAACTGTCAAGGTCTCTTTTTCCATTGGTCAATATCTTCGGTGAACTACGGCCTTTAATGCCAGACGCAAATCTCAAATTTGAGTCTACAAAACTTCTAACACTTTCTAACCTCACCTTTCTTCAGGATATAATGAATAGAGAAAAAGAGGACCAATTACCGTTAATGCAAGTCGGATTTATAGATTCGATTTGCATGCCTATTTACGAGGTAGAATTTCAAAAATTTGAATCACAATCGAGCTTAGTTCGTTTCAATTTTCAGGCGTTTGCAGTATTATCGGACAAATTAGAAATATTAGTGGACGGTGTGAGGATAAACAGGGATCACTGGCTACAGATAGCCGAAGAGCACAAACTGTTAACTACGAATAATGCGAAGGACTCTAACGACAATGTGACTGTGTCAAAGTCCGGCGGTACACCCGATTCTAATAATTTTGAAAGTTTACCCCTTAATAATTGTCAAGATGCCTAGTCCAATATAGTAGATTTGCGTAAGTGTGTAGATATTTAAAATTATTTATTTAATTAAATTTATCAAAGACTTAAATCTGATTTTAGTATGTGTAGCACAAATTTGTAGTCAAAGGTTTGCCAGTACAGATAATTTATTTATTTGCGATAGTTTATAGTTAAATAATATTTACTGCGGTAAGGTAAGCAATTGACCAACTTCTTAATCATCTACTTACTATAAGGTCACGTCTTCAAAAATCCATAGCATTTTTCTACATGGTAAATTCCAGTTTTACGTTGAAAGGTATTTTAAGGATGCTCTCTCGATTTTGATTTTGTTTTTTGTTGTTGTGATATTTAGTTGCTCAATTTCTTTGCGAAATGTTCGATTTACTTTACGAATATTTTGAAAGTATTTTTCGAGTGTGTATTGTTAACGCGGTATTAGAAAAGCAAACTACTGTAACCAAAGTATAGATGTGAAACACGCACTGTAGGCATCTTACAGTGCGCTGTCCTAGTATGTAAAATTATTTTAGAGAAAAAGTGTGATGTCTAATTTTAGCGTTATTTAAAAGAAGTTTTTATTAAGTGAAAGAGAAATATTTTGTAATTGTTGTACAGTTATGTAAAAATGACCACATTAATATATTCTTGAACATTTTGTTCTTTTTCAGACAGTTTCTGTTTTCAAGCTAGTCATCATTCTTCGGCAGCATGTTAAGGGTGTGCTCATTTAAATGAAAAGTTCACAGAAAAATGCCAAGTCACTCCCAAGTAGGTAGGTAGAACGAAATAAAGTTTTATACATTTTGTTTTATCTAAAATGAATAAAATGATCCTTTGGTCGCTTGAATCAAAGATCGCCATTTTATAATTTTAGTATCCAAGCATCGATCTATTTGTGATCCCTAATGATTTTTAGTCTTGAACTGTGCAGGACAATGTTTGTATAAAGATGTAAAAAAACAATTTTCTCTTTTCCATCATTTTAAATCGCAATATAACCAACAGATGGCGCCAAAGCAAGATCTACTATTGCTCCTAGCCTAACTAGAAGAATCCATAGCGTCGAGAGGCGAACACCTGTCGACAAAAAAGAAATTTTTTTTGTGCGATTGGATATGGAAAATATGTGCTTTTACAAAAGTTATAGCGATTTGATTGAAACCTTTCAGGGGCGAAATTTAAAGCTGGAATCTTTGTTTTCCCTCAAGTAAAAGAGTGTAATATTTTCGGTTACTTTGCCAAGAGGATAAAAAATCCTGGAACAGTATTATGGCAATAGTCCTTAGCTTCAAGTTCAGTGTTTCCTGGGAAATCAGAGAAATTATGATGAGCTGACAGGATTTGGTTTTGCGTCATCGGGTATAGAATGTCTCTAAAGATGCACAGGTTACATTCTCATTTAGATCGATTAAGGATAATATGGGAGCTTATTCGGAAGAACTTTCATCAAGACATAATGGTATTTGGGCGCGTTAACAAAACCAGTATGATGGAAGATCATATTTGGGGGGGTTGATAGAAAAGCTTCTGTTGAATATGACAGAAAAAGCAAAACTGTTCCATTTTTAAACATTTAGACTAAGACAAACAAATTATAAATGTAGGAACATTACCTTTTAATAAATCTTTCGTATGTAAGTACAGATTTTAGGTATTTTTATTTATTTGGTTTTTTGCATTTTTCCGCTTAATCCGATTTAAGGTTCACTTTTAACACCACGACTTCAATCTCTTAATATCCGTACAGCACTCGACTAACTTCCTTCTAAAACGCGATAACTGGCAAAACTGACTTGTTTTGTAACAAAGAACTCCCGCCAAACAAAAAGCGGTTAGGTTTCAGCGTCCACCAAAACAAACAAGCTTAAACAAAAGAGCCACGATTAACGTCCGTCTCGTCTATTTAAAACAAATTCCCTTTCTTTTCAATTTCAGCTTCAACTTCCTTAACAAATTAATGCGTGCCTTCGAAAAATCTTAACTTGTGGTTTTCTAAACACCTCCTTATCTTGAACTTTAATTAGCGCACGCAGCGATAACAGTTCTTATAGCAGGCCGGAGATAAAGTTTTACAATTGAATAAGCTTAACCTTTTAATGTATTGTAATATACATTTAATTAAGACATTTATTATTATTATTAACACGTATTTTCAATTTACAATTAAAATAACAAACTAAACAAGGCAATTATTTATGAATTATTATTTGTTGTTTTGAGTACTTTCCATAAATAAAAATAAATATTTAAAAAATGTATGTAAGCATACTCGTGCCAAACCATTATTTTAGCAAATACATATTTATTTTTGGATTTTTTTAAAATTTACTTCTATAGCTATGACACCTCAACCAAGAAAAATCTTGACGATTAATGTGTGCAACTGCGCAATGTCAACTTTCTAATTTATGGAGGTATTTTTTGAAACTTTAACCAAATATTCACCTAGTAAAGACAAACATATCGCATATTTGAACATCAGATCTGCGCAATGTCAATTTTCTTATTTATAGAGATATTTATTTTTGGAAATTAACCAACGATTCTCCTATAGTAAAGACAAACATATCGCACATTTGAACATCAGATTTGCGCATGCACAAATACAAAAGTTGGGTTGCGCATCCGCAATTTCTTTTTATTCGTCTGCATAGTTGCCTGAAGTTTCAGAAATATTTACTAACAGAAAACCGGACATTCATATTTTCTTTATAACAAGAAATATAAAAGAAACCCTTTTTTTCGAAATTTAGGCAGTTTTAGGGCTGTAACTTTGGCCCGTTAGTCTACGTAGCTGAAAAACAATAGCGACCTTTCTTATATCCTGAAGAACATGTGTCCATTTTCAAAGCGATCCGACGTTTCTAGTTTCTACACAAGGTTATCGTGCACACAAACAGACAGCAATACAATTACTGGAACAAAAGTGTTCAATAAAAACAAAGTGCAGCGGGTGACACAAAAATGCACCTTACCCAGACTTAACGAAACCCACAAATGTCCTCTTCCGCTCTATAGCTCAGTCCCTGGCCTTCCTATCTCTATATGAAAGCGTATGTGTTCCAAATGTGCAACTATCAAAAATGAACTGTCACCTATTACGTTGTTGCTCAAGATCGGTCAAAATCGTTATTTGCCTATGTATGAATTTGTTTTGGGAAAAAGATCAAACTTGATTGCTCGATATACTCAAGAAGTGTTCTATGTGTATTTTTTGGCGACGAAAACATTTTTACCCAAAACATGTCAAAATAGTTATGCACCAATTTTCTTGGAAAAAAGACCAAACTTGATTGCTCGATACCCAAGAAATAATCCTATATTGTACCCAAAAGATGGGAAAATCGTTTCTTATGTACCTACCAATTTTCTTGGGAAAAAGACCAACCTCGTTTGCTCGATGCCTAAGAAGTGATCCACATGTGTTTTTGGTGACCAACATATTTTGGGCAAAAAAAATGTGAAAATCGTTAATTTATGTGCCGATTTTCTTGAGAAAAAGACCTTGTGTATCGTCCTTGGGTTTTGCTATATGAAAGTTTAAGGTTAAAAGGAATGTGGTGTTTTCAAGAAACTAGAACACGTTTTTTCTTTGGCACCAACCACCTTCGTTTCATTGTGGAAAAGACAGTCTCATTACTGTTGTAAAAGCGCGTCAGTTTGCCTTCCAGATTAAGTTGAGTCGAAAAAGACAAGCACTGTGTAATGATTCAAAGCAGACAAACTCTACCCCCAGAGGCTTCTCAGTCCAAGAATTCACCCCTACACATAACTCGAACTCCATTTTTAGCGCATTTTTGCAAATTTATTTTTAAAAAGGTATCTTTTAATGTCACTTGGGCCGACTGGCTCGCTGGATGGCAGCAAATACGGGCTTGTAGAACCGCGAGGAGTGTACAACATATTCCTATCGGGGCCGTGTAATTAACAACTTTAGGAACGGAACTACATGATGTGGGGTCGGCGACATCTGGGCGTCGTCCCCGAGTGGATTATACTAACCGGGAGATTTTTCAGTTTTTTCTTATCTTCTTCTACAGTTTTGGTCCGATTGTTTTCAAATTGGTGTCGTCGAAAAGATCTTGAAAAAGCGCACAACTCCTGCGTGACGGAATTTTATTTTTTTCCCTAGGGCCTTGCATCTTCGAGGGGTAGTTTTCTATGGGTGTCCAAAAGTTTTTTAGAGCTCTAACCACGGTCTTTTTTTCTCATGTTGCCAAATAGAAGCTCGAGCTATTAGAAGTACCAAAAAATAGCGTACTACTTTGTGGCTGGTTTTTAGCGAAATCTACCAAAATGCGAAATCCGGCTGAACGAGACGTCGGAAACTGGGTACTGACAAAGAGATTGTGGTAGTCTCATTGTCATAAATGATCTAAGAATGTGGTACCCTCCGACAAGATCTTACAGATGGTGGAGTCAAGACTTCAAACGCGAAATAAGGGTGAACGGGACGTCGGAAGTGGGTACACTAAAGGGAATATATGGTTGCTCCCGACAAGATCTTATTGATGGTGGCTAATAGAATACTGATTTGCCACACAAAAATGCCCTATTTGCTAATAAGATATTGTGCATGGGGCTGATTTAGGGTAATCCATCCGGGCAAATTTGACTCTGTTCAAAACTAAAACCTCGAGTACCTATATGAGGGTGGAGAATCGGAATTTTGCATTTACTTCTTTTTCGTGTAGTAAAATATACGTACTAAACAAACGTTTATAAACATTCCACCTTTTCAGACTAAAAATCCCGGCAACCGCGGTAGCAAATACTGCAACCCTTATCACAGAGGGGCATCTTTAAGGCGATGGCAATACAACATTTTCTGACCTGAACGTTCTCTATAAGTATTTAACAAACAAAAGATGAAATCTGATTGCATCGAAGGGTAAGAGAGGACAAAGGAAAATGTTTGTACGGGAAGAGGGTGGGCGAAATCTGTAAAATTCGCAACGCGTATCCGCGCAGTAGCGCTGAAACGGAACTGGTGCGTACTAGAAGAAAGCAAGGCAAGTAAAGAGAAAGTAAATACAGTCGATATTTTGCCAGCAGCTGTTGCAAACCCCAGAAAGAATGAAGCATAGAATATCATTATTAGTAACATTTGAAAGGCGCACGAGTTTTCAAACGAAATGTGCACAGTACGCCCGTGACGCAAATCGATTTGCGTTTAAAAAAAGTTTAATTTCCTTATAAATAAATGCGGCTTATCAGTATCATGATTCCAAGTTGTTAGCGAAAGTATCGCATCTTAAATAGATGCTTGAATTGAAAAGGAGGGGACGTCGAACTGCTGCTATCACTTCATTGTTTTTCTGTGCGGGTTCCGGGCTATTAGCATATTGGTCTCGGTTACAAACTGCACGACGAAGGAAAGTGATCGGAAAGGGGGCCGTATGGAAGATTGCAGTGCATGATCGAGGTAAGGTCCAAAATCAACATTTTACTCTTATTCCCCTAGTCATTTATCGGTATTTACGCCAGCGGACACATTCGTGATAAGGCTGGCGACCTTTAAAATTGTATGTCAATTGATATTATTCACTGAATTGAATCGCATTTTCAATTTCAAATTAGCCAATTAGAATACGAAGTCGCGGGTTTTTAATGTAAATGTGCCACGATTTATGATACTACGTTTACTTTATTTCATTGCCATGTGCTTGGACATTCCACGGTCCAGTCACAGTCTCAGAAATTAGTGGGGTGAGTGTGGGCGTATACTGACCGATTGCTGCAGAATATACGGGGTGTACTACACTATTGCGGGGCAGTTCAAATCTCATTTCGCGCGCTTTGTTTTGTTCCATATTTATTATAGCGTATCAGATATCAGAAAATATCCAAAAATCAATGTCGCTTGGGATTTGAAATCAGACGACTAGCTAAGTTGTGCCAAATAGTTATTGCATAGAAAAAGTGTAAAAAAAAGCATAATATGACAATAATGTAAAATAACTACAATGAACTTGCAAAAAATTATGCTAAACCTAAAAATCGCGTCAACAAAGAAACCATTTTGCGGATCGGACAATAAGGAGACCAATCTACCCTCTAAAGTGGGGGGTAAAACTATAATTTCTACAAGTATTTTTGGAACAGCTATATATTATATTATCAATAGTAACAGCCTGGATAAACTTTTTTTAAAACAAAAAGACGCCTGCAAATATAGATTTTCGCCTGCAAATATAGATTTTGCAGGTTATAGGCTAGCCGTTAGAGGGACGAACCTACGCCCCAAATATAGAGGCAATTACAGGCTAGAAACGGAATTAGTTGTTCCTTTTATCATTTGTAATAATAATTTTTAAACGGACGTGGTCTTGGTTCTTAAATCTTCGGATTCATAACCTCCATTCTTGTGTATTGAGCCTTTAATCTTGGAATATTGGATCTTGAATTTTCAACGTGCTCTAGAATGTTTTCCAACAAATCACGTCATATTTCCTGGAAAAATTGCGTCACATCCGCCTTCGTTCTTTATCGTCTTTTCATGGCGCCTCTTTGTCTATCGGGATTTCTGGAATATTCGCTACAGTGTGGACCCTTTTTTAATTATTAAGTCTTGTATCTTAAATCTACATTGTTGGATACCGATCTCGAATCGCTATTGTAAAGGATCGATACTTTACTTCCCGAACAATCGATTTTGTGATTCTTTTTTAGATCAATCAATTTTTCTTGGGAAAATGCGAAAAGACATAATAAAGTAATATTCAAGCGTCACGAAATTGCCTGTTACGAAAAAAAAACGTCTCCTTATGTTTCTATTTCATTCAATTTCCCTAAATTTTTTCAGTCTCTATATTTCATCCAAAATTTTCTATAATTCATTAAGTATAAATGAGTTGCTATGGTGATACTTAATGCCCTAGACCACTTTATGCCCGCGTATCACAGATATAAATTGTGCTATATATTAGTAAGACATAAAATGACTTATCAGACACTTTAGAACTAGTGAGTAAGTAGGCAATGAGCTTCCATGCACGTATGAATATACATGTCGCTCTACAGAAATTATTAATATCTTTGTGACTTCCTACTGAAGTGATAGTGTTTATCGTTAGTGTCAAAATTTTAAATCTCAACTTAATAATTATTGTAAAGGTAGGTACTTATGTCTAATATTTGTAATATACCTATGCACGTAAAAGGCGACTGATAATTCACCCAACCTTTAGGGAGCTTAGTGAATCAATTGTAAACACTATTATCACGATAAGTGCATTGGTTATAATCAAAGGTGCAACTTAGTTTTTTAACGATTAGTGGATAATGCTGGAATTGTCGCACTACCTATATCAAGTGAACGAGCCTCCGGTTGTCTAATTTCAAGAAATGGTTGTAATTGTAAGTTAGGTACTATAAGTATGTAATATTAATGGGAGACTTAAATATTAATTTTACCTATTCCAACAACAAACGATAGTGCTAAGTACATTGATTGATGAGGAGAGACGGAGCCTGATATATCTACGCTATATGATTCAAGAAGAATCGCGCCCTTAGAGGTACCTACTCTCCGAAATATTGCAGCTTCCTTTGGTAGGTAGGTACCTAGGTACTCCTTCCTTTCACATCCCCAGTAGGTGTATCTCGTCCAGACCTTCCATTGGTTCTTTATGAGTACCCTTTTCCGATACTTCACATACGCGGTAGTGGATACAGTGGGTAAATATTTACTCTGCGTAATAAATGGAATTCGATCGAATATATTTGCGTTTATTCGAAAATGTCCCAGAAAATTGTCGACATAAATACAAAAAGCGCGTCGACAATCAACCTATAAGATTTCGGCGAGGCGCTAGGGTGAAATTTCTCGGCGTAGGGGCCGAACACACCACAAACTTTAACGGCATTTCTGCTCGTCATGGATTTTGTGTTTAAAAAACGAGGTGAAATTGTAATAAATAATGTAATAATCGCAACAAATAGATAGCATTGAAAGTTTTTTTTTTTTTGTTAACGACCGTAAAACTCAGCACGTTTCATAATATAAAATTACGATGTGCGCTTTCCGAATGGTTTATTTCGCAGTTTTCGTTTGCAAACAATTCACGTTTCTAATGTAAGCAAATTAAACTAATAGAACACAAAAAATCTAATCGCTTTAAGTATAGAAATTGCATTTGGTGCTCTACAGGAAATTGATGCGAGATATCGTGAAGCACAGGAAATTTTCATCCGCGCGTAGATTACAGTAAACGTATAATTATCATGTCTTTCAACGTTTCCATTGAGAAAAAGTAACCAATTGAAATGTTTCCAGCTCATGGGGTAACCCGTAGGTAATGCTTTCTAATTGGTGTCAATCGAGCACCCTCTATAAGGGGTTATTTACCCTGGTACTTATTCTGATCGCCTTGGAGTATCTTTTCGGGGGACTAATCGAGCATCAGGCAGAAAACTTAATCGCGATCAACACGACAAGGTACGTCCATCTTAAGTCGGTTTTGTATCAATCGGTTGATTTTAGGCACATGGGCGTCCAAAGGCTCATAGCGCACCAACCCATGGTGAAGGTTGCCAAAATCGAGGTCGGCAATGCGACGATCATTAACGGAACGGAGCTGAGTGTATCAAACGTGACTAGTACGACCGAAGATTCGCCAGGCGTAAGCCCTTCGGGCGTGCAAGTTTGTCCCGAAGTTCCAGCAAATTTAAGTAAGTCAAACTTGCAAAAGACCTTTGCTATAACAGAAGTTGCAGCTGGCAAGCTGAAAATAGTCAAGTCACCCGCACCTACGGTTGTAGACCTAGAAAAACGCTTCGCGTGGCTGAAACCCGGCGGACATTCATATCCAGAAACCTGCCAGGCGCTCCACAAAGTCGCCATTATTATACCGTTTCGTTGTCGCGGCGAGCATCTATTACTGTTCCTGCAGCACATGCATCCGTTGTTACGAAGGCAGCAGATCGACTACACGATTTTCGTGGTCGAACAAGAAGGCGACGGCCCGTTTAATCGGGCGATGCTGATGAATATCGGCTACAAGGAGGCTCTTAATTTTAACAATTTTCACTGTTTTATTTTTCACGACATCGATTTGCTGCCCGAAGACGACAGGAACTTGTATAATTGCCCGGAGCAACCTCGACATATGAGTGTTGCCATAGATATTTTCAAATACAAGTAAGTATCGATCACAAAGTGCGCAATTTCTAGCTACAATAATTTTGGGCTAATTTTATGCTGTTTTCGTACCTTTTGTGCTCTTAGAATAATAGAACGCCTCTCCCCTCCTCTCAAAAAAATTACCACTAGTATGCCCGCAAACCTATCACAGAACATTAAAAGGAAAATGGTCTCTAGAGTATTCTTCTCCCAACACCAAACAAAAGCTTGAATCAATTGTCTTTAACCTTTTTACCGGTAGCCGTGTTATGTTGTATAAACAAATTAGATGCACATTTTAAGTGATAAATTAGTTTTTTACGTAACTTGCCACTACTAATCTAACGCAACGAAATGTTTTGCACCTTGGACCTTGAAAACGTTTTCATAGTAACAATTTATTTATCAAAATATGCACTGAAACGAAAAATGTTTGCTTGCGTATTAATACTGTAACGCGTAGCAATATTCGCGGTCGAATATTAAACCATCCGTCTGATCGCCTCTTTCACGCAATGAAGTTCTCTTTCTGCATAAACCAGCCACATATTATTAATTTATTTCTGATGACTCTTAGTTAATTTAGAGGGCACCCACATTCGTTAAACTCGTCAAAAATTGCGGCACCGTTTTCGTTTGTGAAGACGATTCTCCCACACACTGCGGTTTTACGGTTTTCGGTTCGAACTTTTAATTAATAATGAAGTTTTACGCGATCTCTATGTAAATCAGCACCTAAGGATCGGTGAAAAAATCAATACGCGATACGGCTCCACCGACATAGATTCTCTTTGAAGGTTTTAGTAAGAATCCCGCTCTCCCACCAGATTTCTACTTAAATTAAGCGCAAAATTATTGTATACGCAGTATTAATCCAACTGCAGACGTCAATGCTGTAATGCCACTTTTAGGCTTCCCTACAAGGGTATCTTCGGAGGCGTCTCCGCCATCTCAAAGGAACACTTCGAGCTCCTCAACGGCTTTTCGAATTCGTTTTGGGGCTGGGGCGGCGAAGACGACGACATGTCGAATAGGATTAGGTATCACAAACTGCATATATCGCGATATCCCCTCACCATTGCCAAGTACACGATGCTCACACACAAGAAGGACAGACCGAGTCCGCACAGGTAGGCACGTTGACCATTGTGTTCGTCACTCATCCCCGCGTTTCAGGTACGAAGTTCTTCGCAGTGGCCAAAAGAGATTCACAAAGGACGGTATAAATAGTTTAAAATATACGTTAGTCGACGTCAAACAGAATCTCCTATACACGTGGTTATTAGTGAAGTTAGAGCCGCCCAGCTGATGGAACTGGTTATCCTTATCCTTCTTGTGGAATGGATAAGTGATAATCTGTATAAAGTGTCAAAATAACGATAATTATAGGATAAGTATCACCCTCTCCAAAATTTCCATTTTTTCATTTCTCTCAGGGGTTTAAATTGAGATATCTGACAATATGTAAACCGAATTATTCGAGGAACACACATTCTATTTGGTTTAACTAAAATAATCGATTCTAGTGATTAATCGATTATCAAATGATCGATCTCTGTGACTAATCGATGATCATCGATTTTAATTATACTTTTTACGTCAAAACCCTAACTAAGAAATTTTTGCTAAGCGCTAATTTTGTATCATTCCCAAAAATCGAGTATTAAAAGTAGGATAAAATATTGCTACTCGAATTCATCTACTGTGCTACCAAGCTTAATGAAGTTACCCAATTACATGTTAATGGCGAACGCAAAGGAATTGTGTGACGGTTTTTATATACGTCACTTGTCTTGTTATTCCCTAATGATGGTCGCGCAGAATTCGTAAATGCTTGGGATAATTATACCCACCCAAAAATTGGAATATAATCTTTTGCAGTAGACATTTTCCCAATATTGTAGAAAGTGTGGCTTGTTTGCCGCATGAACATTGAAGATGGTGCCTCCATCTCTGCTACTGATGCTTGGGTCCGTTGTGACCGATTCCTTGTGTGTGTGTGTGTGTTGTGTTTTCCACCAGTGGCGTATTTACGGGGGGGATGAAGGGGATATATCCCCCCCCCCCCAGAAGAATTGAGTTATCTATATATAGAGAGCAATTTTGGTTTTGGTTAATGTCTACACTAAAATCTAAATATTCTGTAGTATTCAGTATTCACTATTCAGTGAGTGATCAGTGTTGGCAGTCAACGATTTGGCTATTCGGCATCGATCGGCAATTCGCTACATTGATGCCGAAAATAACAAATAGGTATCCGGTACTTAGTACTGCTACTGAGGTGAGGTACCTGCGTCCTGCCTTTCACGAAATGACGAAAATAAGAATTTTAAATTTTAAAAACAGTAACTTTTTTTGCCCATAACTTTTGATTGAGACGTCTAATCGAAAAAGTACGAATCGTTTTGGAGTCTACGCACCCAAATTAATAAGAAAAAGTTTTTTCCCGAGAAATTTTGGTGTAGTCGATTTTTCGTAAAAAAGGAAGGTTATAACACTGCCTTTTTTTGCCCAGAAAAAAAATTGTCTCAGATCGACCGGAAAAAAATATTTTCTTATAGAATGTGGCCTGTAGAATCCATAATTTCAAACAGTTCCAAGATCGGACTACTAGATCAAAAGTTACAGCCCTTTGAATTTTTTGTCGAAATTGGTTTTTTGCCCATAAATATACCTATTATTCAAAGTTTTCGTTGACTAATTAAAGCAAAAGCAATAAAGGGGCCTGTCAGCAGTAAGAAATAAAATACCGTTCTAATCTAATCTTTTTCGCCTGTGCAACCCAATTTCTATTTCCCCCCCCCCCCCCCTCCCTCTTCTAGTACGCACTGGGTGACTGTATGTGCCACGAACCCCCCCAGAATAAATTTCTACGTACGCCACTGTTTTCCACGATTTCAAGATTTACTATTTATGGAAGTTTTCTTCTAAACAAATTATGAAAATGAGTTGAGCTCACAAGTGAGGATATCGTCCAGACATTCCAAGGCTCCAAAAACCTGAAGATGCAAAAAAATTGAAATATTCGGAAGTATCAGAAGCACGCTCAAAAACCATGAAGCCTCAGAAGAGTGTGGTAAAATTCTGATACTTTTACTATAAGGACATTGAAGACTTAGGGGCTTGGCGATTAAGAGCCAAAGATTATGGAGGCCATAGGTCCAAGCCACGAAGGTACTTAGAAATTTGAACAGGCAGAAATTGTGTAGGATTTCAAGATTGACCATTGAGGATTCTAAAGACGAAGCGTTGGGTGTGATCTGACAACTAAGAACTTAATGGTTCCGAAGACTGAAGAACACGAAATCTTTGAAGAACGCCAAATACGATGAAGACTCAGAAGAGTTTGGCTATTCTGAGGCATCTGGCACGGATTGTACGCTTTATATCCCAAAGACTCCAGATGGGTTCAAAGACTACCGACTGAACTGGACCTCGAGACCTGGAGATTTTGTGAATTTTTAAAATCCGTAAGACCTTGGCAGTAGTATGGCATGAACAGGTAAAAGTCAATGCATGTTACGAACACTCTAGAGACGCTTAAGGGTTCGAAGACAGATTAATATGGAGACTCATGAAAGAGCAGGTATGCGCTTATGATCTGAAACCTGAACATTTAGGAGATTCTGAAGGTGCTGAAAACCCAGTGACACAGAATTACCTGAAAACTGTAGAAGGTCGAATTATCGTAGTCTCAGAAGGCCATGAGGCTTTTTCTTAAGAGCACGAACGTGCAGAAGATTACTCTCAGTTTTTGAACACTATAGGTAATCACCATGAATGAGTTTAACTTCTGAAATTATATTGAAAACTGTCATACTCCCAACACTCGTGAGTTACAGATGAAGACTTTAAAGAGTCTGAACATTGACGATTGAGAATCGCCATGGAAGCGCATGAGCACTCTGAACATCTGGAGACCCTGATATACATCTCGAAAATCATTAAGAACCTTGCAAGAAACTGAAGACTCTGAAGATGTAGAGGTTACGGGCGGTTCGAGTACTTTAGAGAGATGTGGAATTCTAAAAGACTGATGCAGGCTGTAAGTTCTCATAAGATTGACTCTTGAGGAAACCATGGAAGTGCTTGGGTGCTCTGACCACGTAAGGTCCTTGGGGATTTTAAGAACCTGGAGAAACTTAAGGCCCCCTTCGAACACTAAACAGTCTGAAGTTTCGAAAGGCTTCAATGATTGAATTACAAAACTATTTCTAAAAGAAAAGACCATGGAAGCGTTTGTAAGCCCTGGGGACCCTGGAGATCTTGAGAATCCTTAAGAACTTGGAGACCTTCAAGACGCAGAACATGAAGCAGATTATGGGATCCAAGGCTCAGGATACTGAAATAGTTCTGAAGGCCCTTCAGGTTGAAGACTTTTAGGGTTCTAGATTTAGGATTTAAGTGTCAAGATTCTGGTTCAGAGTTTAGACCTCGTCCAGAAGGATCATCGCGGATCATTTCGCGCGAATTAATATGCGTGTTGTCGAGATATAAGGCGCCAATACATCGCGTCCACAAGCATCGCGCGAGTTGAAAATACGCGCTTAACTCGCATGCACCTCGCCCCAGACTCTCACTAGGGGAGAGGCACCCAGTATACGCGCGAAATGCAGAGCGAGTGCTTTTCATTCAACTCCATATTTTCTGACAGTTTATTCACATTCCCAAATGTTCGCGCGTTTTGCGCTCCTTCTGGAGGCAACGTGTGCTTGTAGAGAATCGCGGCAAATTCGCTACTTCTGGACAAGATCTGAGGATGTAGGGTTCATTTAGGGTTTTCATGCGCCAGATCACGATTCATATTTCAAGTTTTAGAGGTTTCACACTTTAATTTCAGGAACTAGATTTCGTAGCTCTGACTCCAAAGGAATCAAAAACTGGATACACGGGGAGGGGGGGGGGTCTTTATGGAATATTAAAATGTGTGGGGGTCTTCTAACCTTAAGCACACCGAAGATGTTGCAGACTGTAAACGGTCTGGAGGTCCTAACAAATTTTGAAGACTGAAAATCCAAGTAACATTCCTGATGAAGACTGAAGAATAATCCAAATATAGAGGGAGCTGTGGCAGAACATTAAGTGACTTAGCACCAGATTGGACCCTTATTTACATTTGCCTCAAAATTGTTGATATAAAGTTCCAAAAAAGTCTATGCCCTTGGAGAAATGTTTTCACTTCTCATTGATATATTGGTAGGAAATGTGTCAGCACTTACTGTCTGTCTTTCGCCATAATTGAACTCCATGTAAATTACCAAACGTTAAGCTTGGTCGCATTGTGATAACCGTAGATTTGCCAAATCTTTTTTACATTTATACCTAGTACTCTTAACGGACGAATAAATTATACTTGTTGCCAAAAGTGTATATCTATAACGAAAGTGAATAGAAAGGGACATATCTAGTCTAACAAAATATAGTGAGATGACATATATACATACTGTACATATTTGTTTAAAGAGCGAATTTATTTTCTTATTTTGTTAGAGGTAGACATTGTAATGTTAAAACTTTTAGATGTTAAACTACAGGCATTTTTGTTTCAGTGCAATTCCGTGGCAGGCTGTATCGCTTTGTTTAAAATTAACTAATCGAAATGAATCCATGCACAAATGAGTTACCAGTGTTCCTATATAGATTAGTATTTTTTAAAGCGTTATACAAGTACCTACTGTAGAAATGGATATGATATTTGAATTGTGATAATGATAAATAACTCCCTAATTGGTAAATGTAGCTTTAGTGTAGTGTTATCATTGATTATACAGATATCGATGGGTGTAATCAATAGATATGTGGAATATACAGTCGAGTTTTGATTGATTTTTCAGCGCCACTATAATGATATGCCAACAGCACTTGCAAGTTTTATTTTCTATAATCATCACTAGTAACAATGCATAGGAATCCTGGAGTGTCTTACAAGCTGAAAACGCCAGCGATTATTACTCAAATACTATCAGTAGTGAGCAGATACTAGTCCGAGTTCAGGTTGAGTGAAGAATGAAAGAAAGTCAAGGAAACGAAAGAATCTAAGAATAATTTTGCATGTAAATCGATGCATTGCGAAAATATGATTAAGGCACAGATATGCGTACTTGTTTGTGTATGTCTGTGATTAAGGTAATTGATTGATTCAGTAATTACACAACGCAATTATTGTAATTGATTAAATGATAGGCAACCACCATCACTCGAAAGTGTATATAGCGGAGAGCCGGTACTATAACCACCGTTTTTCCAGAATAACCGCATAGAGGTCGCTGTAGTCGATATTCAAAAATTGAAATAATTCGAAAGTTTAATGTAAAATTTTAAGAAAGTGACCAAACCTGGTACTTGTAGAAGTAATGCGAGATGAATCTGAACGAGAACTTGCCGGCACGTGGAAGAAACAATGGACGAGGACGTTCGATTAAAGGTATTGGTGGAATAGCAATAGAATAATCTTACTCCTCTGAACTTAAGTTGTAGCCGTACAGGCGCCGCTCGGGCCTCCTCTAAAACCGGCCCCTAGAAGAAAATCAACTCCCTGTCGTTCGGATAGTTCTAGAATAAAATGGAGGAATACGACGAGGTAAGTGCAGTAAGGCGTATAGGTGCAACTAGCATCAGTAACGGTTTGGTTAGCTCAGCTGGAAATTCCGCACTCCATACCGGCGGTTCGACCTCTACGCGAGTCAGCAGTAACGAATCGAGAATCATAATGGCCCTTTCGGAAGGTCGAGGGGATGCAATGTGCGAAGTCGGTATCGCCGCCATAAATGTCGACTGCCCATCTTTAGTTCTTTGCCAAATATCTGATTCACAGAGCTACGTTAACACATTGACCAAGATTAACGTGCTGAATCCCACCGAGGTAACATACTTCTTTGTATTCGTACTTAATTTACTGTGCCAAGTTTTAGATCTTGATCCCGTCGACTTTCGTCGAGTCTTTTACGACGAATCGCCTTTTGCAGAAGGTGAAGGAGCACTTTACTCACATAAAAATTACCGGGGTACATCGCAAAAGTTTTAACAAAAACACAGGTCTGCAGTACATTCGTCAGTTATGCATTCCGAATATGAATTCGGTTCTGCTCGTCGTGCAGCATAGGTATTACGCCCTAGCAGCAGCCGGAGGTCTTTTGACCTATGCTGAGGTCACTTTGTATGTCATGTACGCCAAGGAGTCTGTTAAGATCGAGTACCAAGAGTCGGAAGGCTGTGCTATTATCGGTAAGAACGATTGTGGGTCACGAGTCAACACATACCTATTTATGAGACAACAGAATTGCCACTATTTTTCTAATCAATTCTTTCCTCTTATTCCTTCAGAATTGTATCTTATTTCTTTAAAGTATCGAAAGGTAAGTCATTCCCGATAAAAATTTGTACCTACCTTAACTACACATACCTATTGGTAAAATGAGGAGTTTAGGTACTGCCACCGGATAATGTTTTTGTACTAATGACTACAATAAGTACAATGCTAGGTATAAGTACTATAAGTACACCAGTGGCAGTGAAACATTAATTTATTATGTGCAACTTATCAAATTGTGTATGTGAACATATGAAAAGTATTGCGTCCATAATATTGTTTTCATAGGTGCCTAATCTATTACTTTACATTATTAATAATTAAGGTGGTCTACTTACCCTCTCCTTCAAAGTTCACCCTGTACTGGGCGTTGCTTTCACCCTGAGGCCGGATTGATAATCTCTTGATGGGAAGGGTTGCAAACGGCGAATTAATTACAGCTTTTGTTTACGGTAACGGCGGCTGAAATACATAACTCCAGAAATGAAATCAATTACCAATTACTTTTACCCTTAGATTATACATATGATCTATTAACCCTCTATCTTCAACTCCTAAAATCTAAGAAAGCCTAAAACCCACACAAATCTTTCAACATGACACTTTTCGTAACGAAGCGCCTCCAGATACCGGGTGTTCACGTACTGGGTGGTCATGAAAGTATAAACTTCAAGGCAGAAAATATGTGCTTCGTTACAGTTCGGCGTGTAAGGTATAAATCGGGATGTGACGTCACTTATTTTATACCTACTGTATATTCCACCCTTTGTTGGACGTCAGATATTGTGTCACAATATTTATGATCAAATCATGAATAAACAAAACACAAATTAAATCCCTTTAATGATTGGCGAAATGCTTCTTCATAAGTACGAAACAAAATTAGTAGCAGTAGGTAATAATGTACTTATGTACAAATAAAATTATTATAAAATCAAAGCAATAAATGAATGCTTTTGGAAGCATTTGAGGTACCATACACAACAGGTATTTAAGTTTTATTTAAATATGAAAAATAGCCAGACACAGCTTTGAAGGTAAGTAAGTACCGCCAAATGGGGTTCCTCGGGCCAATTTTGAAACAATTTTATTACTCACAGCCAAATGAAACGTGATTTTTTTAAACCAATGTTGCCTATTGATAGACAGAATATGCAGCTACGACATTTGAAGAAGCTTGGTACCAAAAATTATTCCCGCCCATTTTTTAGCACATTTTCCAACTCATTTTCAAGAAATTTAGTTCGTTATTTTCGCATTCGGAAGCTTATAACTCGGGCACCTCAACCAAGAAAAATCTTGGCGATTAACCTGCGCAGAGTTCTTATTTAGAGAGATACTTTTTTGAAATTTTAACCACAGGTGCTTTTAGTAAAGACAAGCAGATCGCATATTGTAAACATTAGATGGGCGCAATGTGAACTTTCTTATTTTAAACATCAGGTGTGCGTATGTAGAGACTGTGTAATGGTTTTTTATTTGCACTTGCCTAACGGCAGTGGCGTGTACGTGGGGGTTTACGAAATAACCACCGAATTGGTTTATTTAATTCCACTCTGTATTTCTGTAGTGTTGTTTTACCCGCGTGGGGACGCGTTCCTTCGTAGCCGGCGTTATCTAATATAGTTGTAATTGGCGCATTATTTGTAAATACCGGAAGAAGGAGATGTTATATGATGGAAGTGGTGGTTTCTTTAAACACTTTGAATTACCGAAAAACGGAGGCTGCTGCTAGCTTATTGGCGACGGTTGGAAAGCGTGTACGTTATTTATTTTATTCGGGCTGTGCGCTCGATTTGATTAGTTGAAGACGTTGCTCTCTTATTATCAAAAGTTTGTACCGTTTGAATAGCCACCGGCAATTTGTAATTTACATCGACATTAAAATTTGAAGTTCAGAAGCTGTCAGAATTTGTGTGTGGAATTAATTGTGCCTCGGTCTATTAGGATTATTAAAAGAAAAAAAAACTAAGTCATTTTAAGATCTCCTTATTTCATTTGTTGAACGAATGCGTGCGGAGTAATTTGTCCAAACAAGCTTTGCAAGCTACTCTTTCCTCCCGAATAAATTTTTGTCATTGTCAATCAATTAGTTGTGTGTTTATTCCAACCCATTGTACGACCCGGATAGTGTTTACGTCAGATTTGCCTTTTTGTGTGCAAGATTTATTTCGGACGTTGATCAAAATTTTTGTTATACATTCTTCGGAAGTTAATCGAGGCCTCTGAGTCTTTCAAATCATTTATTTAAGTCAATATTGGAATTTTTTGTAGTAGATGCCGGAAGTGTACGTGAACAAATTATAAAAATTCTACTGTTAAAAGGTGATTAAAGACTCTTGAAGAGCAATAAAACCTCTTAAAGTTTGTGATAGACTTTATTTTATTAATGATGAATAAAAGGCTAAAAACTATAGTCCAAGAGTGCTGACTATTGTCTGTTGAAAGGCCTTGAGTTCTAGCAGGCTTTTGTACACACTTGGGGGTTCCTGAGTTTTCGATGACACCTTAATAACATTAAACGATTAGCCCAAAACTGTAACGAATGTTTCGATAAATGCCTACAAGGAAAAATGCTTAAAATAGAGGAGTGTGGGTTAGCTAAGTTGCCCCTCTCCCCCCTCCATATACCTGCAATTGCAGTGACGTAAATAATTAAATTAGCGAATATTTAGATACTAAGCCTTATGTGCACTTCAGTAGAGGGGGAGGCGTAATTTAGCTGACCAGCCCGACTCCTCTGGATTCTACACTCGACCTCCCGTATTCCACTCTTGATGGACATTTTATAAAGGAGAACAATGTTGTAGATGTGGTCACCGCAGATAAGCTCGAGTTGGTAGCTAGTACCCGACCGTCAGTGTCGAAGAAGTACTCGTGCTTACTGGATATCTTGAACTATACTCAGACGAAAGTAGGCGCCCTAGCGCTGCGTGCCTCGATCCTGCAGCCGCCGTGTAAGGTGATCGACATTGAGGCTCGCCTCAATTGCGTAACCGAGCTGATCGGGCACGGAGAAATGCTTACAGCTCTACAAGTCTCGCTGCAGAAGGTTAAATGTGTCGATCAGTTACTATCCCTTGCTAACGTATTACCGGACCAATCCAACAATTACTCCGAGCGCCAATTAAATTATCTTCTCTTACTGAATTCGATCTTGGAGGAAATACCTCGCCTAAAAGAGATCTTCGTAAACACCAAGCAGCCATTTTTCGTCGACCTCTGCAACCTGCTAAAGGATCCGACTTTTGCGCAAATCAAGCAGTTGATACGCACGGTCATCAACACGGACGCGCACCCGGCAAAAGGAAAGTACGGGATCATGCAACGATGCTTCGCTATCAAGTCGGGCCTAAACAATTTGCTCGACCTAATTCGAACGTCTTACTCTGAGAGACTCGACGAGCTGAGAGATTATGTCACCGGCTTGAAGGAGAAGTACGGTTTATCCCTATCACTGAATAATAATACGAAGAAGGGTTACCATATTATATTGCAGTTGAATGCGCATCAACAAAAAAGCTTGCACAAGTCGGATCTCCCTGGTGAGTTCATTCAGGTAGGTCCATTTTTTCATTTTTGAATTGGAACTAAAGCGCTCTTCAACTACCTACAGGTGGAGCGTCAGGCGCGTAGTTACACATTAAAAACCGACCGCTTAATCAGTTTATCTAACCGAATCGAAGACATTAATTTGGAAATTTTGAAAATGAGCAACATGTAGGTCCGTTCGCTTTGTACGTTCATTACGAAACTTTGTTGCAGGATGATTGGTAAACTTTTGATTTCGGTGCGTAAGCACGTCGGATTATTTTACACCCTTTGCGAGAATCTAGCAAAAGTGGATATGCTGCAATCGCTCGCGCAAGCCAGTACTGCCATGCAGTACGTAAGGCCGAATTTCGACGACTACCTCGAGATATTATATGGACAGCATCCATTGCTGAATTTTTTACTTCCCATTGAGCCTGTTGCCAATTCCATAGTATGGTTATTGAAAAGCGTGCCAAATAACTTACTGTTTTGTTTACTAGACGGCTTCGAACGATTATAATATGCACATAATAACCGGACCGAATGGCTCGGGCAAAAGCATATTGATCCGTCAGATTGTCTTACTGCAGATTATGGCACAGGTCGGCTGTTACGTGCCTGCGAAATCGGCTACATTTCGAGCTGCCGATCGAATTTTGGCACGAATTTACTTTGACGACAATATGGCGTGCGGTGCTTCGACATTTGTTCTCGAGGTAATATTGTCCTTAGCGTCGCGCGTGCTTACTTTTCCTTGCAGATGAAAGAAATTCAATACTTTCTCACTGTGATGACCAAAAATTCGTTGGTGATAGCGGACGAACTTTGCCGTTCCACCGCTTTAGGGGAGGGCACCGCGCTTGCAATGGCCATATGCGAGCAGCTATCGAAGACTCCCGCATTTGTGTTCTTTACCACCCACTTTAAGTTGCTTGCGAAGCTGCGCGATTTATATATGAATGTGAAAGTGTAAGTTTGTGATTTATACGAAAGGTCCTGATCACTATCACTTAATTGGTTCATACTGTGGTTCGGCGCACTTAGACTGTAATTTTTTAGCAAGTACACTTAACTTACAGGTGGCAATTGGAAACTCTGACTGAAATGGTCAATGGCCAGATGAGTCTGATTTTTACATACAATCTAATCCAAAACCCAACGTCGCTTGAGAATTACGGTATGTTTCTTGCAAAGGCCGCTTGGCCTGAGAACGCAATCAAGTACGCCGAAGAAATATTAAAACGCTTGTCGCAGCAGGCCCCTCAATCTCCAAGGGTTTCTTCTTCAATACAGGCCGTGCATCCCGCCAGACGTCTCAAATACGACTTGGAAGCGAATTTAAAGTTGTTGCAGAAGAAAGGAGAGTTAAAGGAACAAATCGACGGGCGCCTCTCGGCCTTTGGTGATGATCTGGAGAAAATAAACTGCCGCTTGGATTTTGTAGAGCCAGAACAGCCGGTGTTAGAAGACGTCGATGGTATCGAGCCGGATTTGTCGCGAGATATAAGTTTAATGATTCAAATGGAAACGTGCAATCAGTCTCCGGGTCCGTTTCCGAGCTTATTTGGCGCAAATAAAAATTTGTCATTTACTGAGATGCTTGTGCCGGATGTTGTGTTGGAATGTGCAGATGACGAAGTGGTAAATTTTGGTGATGATAATTTAATGCGGCGTTCGTTGAGTTTTGCGAATGACAGTTGCAGATCAATCAACGAGTTGAATTTTACCTTGAATCTACAGCAAAATACGGGGAGGACATCGACACCTTTGTTTTCAAATCAAATCGTTGAACCGATGGCCCACGAGGCAAGTTATCATTCGGTTTTGTCTGCCGAGGACTACCGACAGGAGCGCGATCTAGTTAAAGGGACTACACCTCAACCGGCCAGTAGCGATAGCCTGCTGTGGAAAGTGAGCAGGAAACCAAATACAAGTTTTCGTTCGCATTGCACCCAGGATCTCACTAACGAATCGGAGAGTGAAGGTGAGGATGTATTGATGATTTTGCCTGAAAGCCAAATGAGCGAACTGATAGTTGATCGGAATAAGTCGCAGATGGAGAATAGTCTCATTCCACACATAGAAACCACTAGTGTTGAGCCAAGTAAGAGAAGTAGCAACACCATAATGTGGCAAATAAGCGCAAAAAATGCCGTGGTCCCCCCATCTCAAAGTATTGATGAGGAAATGGAGGAAATTACCAAGGAGTTAGAAAGGTGTCGAGATGCTTTTCTAAATGCAACTCCCATATCGCAAAGTGTTAAACCAAGTCCGCCTAGTAAGACGTCAAACAGTTTTGAGCGGATCGAATCAGGTTCCAAAAATGGGAGTAGTAGCAGTGTCATGTGGCAAATAGGTGCAAAAAATGCCGTTAGTTTACAATCTCAAAACAAAGATATGGACTTGGTCTTCTTAAATGCAAGTCCGTCTTCTAAAACGGCCAAAGGAAACGCACCAAAGAGTGCTGAACGAGCTCCCTCGGTACCAAGTAAAGAGAGTAGCGATACGATTATGTGGACGATGAACAGAAAAGATACTGTAAGTTTGACATCGCAAAGTTCCGATAAAGTAGTAGAAGAAATTTCTTCGCCACAAAGTCCAAAAAATGATCCCATTGATGATAAACCTAAGTCGGGTGTTGCAGATGGCCTTACTTTCAAGACCCCCACCAGGAGTGGCATAGAAATACTTGCAATTAATTCTGAACAGATGCAGTCGCCGGAAGTGAACGAAATTACCAAGGAGTTGGAAAGTTGCAGCCAAGCCTTTTTTGAGGCGGATGAGTGGGCGAAGGAAAAGATTTCACAATCGCAGGCCAGTTCGATGAACCACTCTCACATCGGTTGCGGAGGATTTCAAATCACAGTTGCAGCAGACGTGCACGGCGCCCCAAATTTTCCATCACTTAGTGCCAAACCGGTGGAGGCGGACATACAACAGTCGTCAGCGCAAAACGACAGTTCTAGGGACCACTCACACGTCGGTTGCGGAGGATTTCAAATTAGAGTTGCAGCAGACGTCCACGCCGCCCAAAATTTTACATCACTTAGTGCCAAACCGATGGAGGACATGCAACAGTCCTCAACAGTCGCGTGGGAATTGGACCAAGCTCAGAACGACAATTCTAGGGACCATTCGCATATCAGCGGTGGGGGATTTCAAATTTCCGTAACCGCTGATGTCCACCCTGCGTCACAACCACAATCGCCTAATGCCAAACCGATGGAGGCGGATGTACAGTCATCAGTGAAAGAATTAACCCAATCTCACTCGAAAAATGACCGCTCGCCCATTGCCTGTGGAGGATTACAAATCGCCGCCGCCCCAAGTTTGAAAGTAGTGGACAATCAACAGGCTGACGAAATCGCGAGGAAATTGGATCAATCACAAGTACCAGATTCGGAAAATGTGAATAAAGGTAGCTCGATCTTTCTTCAAGAAACGCAACCAATAAACGCCATCCTTGAAACGAATGACGCCCCCAAGCTAAATACTTCATTGGAACCTTTGGGCGACATTCACCTCGAGTTATTTAGTGACGTGTCTCAAGAAGCAAACGAGACCATTTACAAGTCGTTCCGGGCCAGCCCCGATTTGTTTTCCACGCCACAACCATCGCCCAAGAAGATTTGCATCTTAGCGCCCAAGGAAACGCCACAGCTTAACCAAGCTTCCAGTCTCCCTACTATCGCCCCCAAAAAGAAAAAATGGAACCCCCCTTATAAAACCCAATCGGCCGTTTCGCCGCTTAATAAACGCAAACCGGGAAACTTCGCGCTAGTTCAACCGAAGAAACTGACGAAGAAGGAAATTGTGCAAAGCTTCTACGAGCAAGATAAAGAGTTACTGGCGCGAAACGACGCGAGCTTTGCCGAGTACATCCTGAACCGCCCGAATGTTAAGCAGATTCAAGAAATGGAGTACATCGCGAGCTTCAGACGGACCGACGAGGGCGTCTTGGTAATGCCGTTCGCCTCGCGCGAGACAAAAAGGCGCACCAAACGGAAGTTCGTGACGCCCTTACTCCGACAGCCCTCCGCCGACTTTGACTGGCAAATGTTCAGCGATAAAAACGCGGGAAAGTTCGAGGAATATATGAATTTCAAGAAACCGTCGCCGTTCTTGCGAGGGGAGCAGACTCCCTTCCAACTGTGCGCCGGCGAAACCGTGCGGAGAGACGACAGCCAATCTTCTAAGACGGGCGACGATCTCATGTGCAACTTTGGCCGAAACATGCAACGTTTCAAGAGCGATTTTTTGAAGAAGCTACAGGAGAGCGTGGCCAACAACTCCCAACCGCCGTCTCAGTTGGAGAATTCTGCTCCTGGGTTCTATACCCAAAACAAGGAGCGTCTCGATAGTATTACGAATAAATATTTAAATAGTTGCACCGGAGGTGGACTTGGAGACGTGCCGTCGCTGCCGTCCGATATTGCAATGGAGAGTTTCGATTCTTGTTTCGTTTTCAGCCAATTCAGTTCCAAGTTGGATTAGTAGACTTTGTGTGTTTTTGTAATAAAAGTTTATTTCCAGTTTTTTGGGGTTTTATTTTTAAGTGGGCGGGGTCACATCCGAATCCGGTGTACCATGCTCGACCTGGATTGGTCCAGGGATCTTAATAATAATAAAAATATGTCTAAAATTCCTACTAGTCAACGGCGGCACGGCGTGACAAAATTTGGTAACTTGGATTTCTTTCTACGCGACGTGGAATCCAAAATTAGTGTGTCAAAATTAAAAAAAAAATCAAACGCAATTCGTGGGCGGACCACAAAAATGGTCAGAATTGCTTTTGCTGATTTTGCAAAAATATTTTCAAAATTCCTACCCGGAGGTACTGTCTATTCCCTCCAAAAAATTAACTGGGTCCCGCTTAAATTTTAAATAAGTAGCACATGATAAAACATTTGAGGCAGGACCCCCTTATGTTAGGTAAATAACGCCCCCCCGGAGACGAGTAACTTAGACCCTCGTGTGAGAATTCCAGTCTTACCTAGTGTGGTTACAATATTCCCATCTTTGTGACTGTCTCTTCAGAGAGAAAAGTATTTTTGTCTCCACCCCCCACAAGAGATACTTTGTCCCCACCCCCCACCAAATGTTTTCGATAGGTTATGGTGGATGGTTTATGGTCCGGGTATATCGTGGTTATATCGGAGCGCACTTCCCCCATCTTACTCAGCCTGCTCTCCATGAGGAGGAGTCACATGACGCCGACGGGACCGAGACCTGACTCCTGAGGAGAACCTCTGTTCACCGTTGTCGAGGTGTGGTTGACTGTCCTTTAAAAACCTGGACACTGGGCAGCGCCTTATAGATATTCCGAGGACGCGCGAATTTAGGTAGGCCTTTTCGTATAGTCTGGTTCCAGGTTGCATTAAAAGCATGCTTTAAATCGAGTGTGATCACGGAACTATGAAGCCCGCGAATTTTATTGCCCTCTGATCAATGGTAATGAGTTTTATGGTCTGGACAGTCGACCTGCCTTCCCTGAACCCATATTCGTTGGGCGACAAATGCCCCCACTAGATAGTGCTGTATTCTCCTAGGAAGCAACTTCTCCAGGATTTTGCCCATGCTAGGGCGCACGCCTTTATTACCTGGTTTAGGGAGCCAAACTATTTTAGCAATTTTTCAGATTTTCGGGAAGTACCTAGGTGTCCTGGGTGCGTGCGATTTCGCTTCCCTGACTATTTGCAGGATCTCCTGCAGGGTAAAGTAATCGTCTGGCTTTACGAGCTTGCTGGAGGGTGTCATTTCTTCCAATTCTGGGCCTGGGTCATTAGGAAAGTAGGTGTTTACGTCGAGGAGGGGGAGACCTTGAGTGACCACCGGTCGGCGAGGGGATGGAATCCCAATATGCTTAACGCGGAGTTACTAGAAGAGAGGTTGGGTGAATCGCTATTGCAACGAGATTGGGACGAGGGCGGTGTCATCGTACGAAAGCGGATTCCGGAGAGGAAACTCCATCGAGGACGCGTTGTTCCAAATCGTAAGAAAAGTGAGAATTTGCCAGGATATGTTTTTCTGCACACCATGGATATGTGTCCTCTTTTATTGGGGCAACTGGCTGTTAAGTGCCCGAAATTATTACATCTGAAACATGGATGTATTTCTTGACTTTTATTCTTGCGAGGTTAAGATGAACATCCTCCATTTTTTGTATATTTTGAAAGTCCCGTCACCTCTATAACCCACTTTTCGCGCTCGGGATTGCGACACACTTTCGGCGTAGGTTCAGGCGTTTTTGGAGCGGTTCCCTTACAAGCGTTGCTTGGGGGCTTGTTTATAATTCGTTGGATGCACCTCGTACACCACTGTGGTGAGAGCTATCATGACCTTGTTCATGTTATCAACTTGCTCCCTGATTGTAGCTTGATCTTGTCTAGTAAAGCTCAAGAATTGAGCTCTTTAGAAATAGCTCATGGTCGCCATTCTCCCGTTCATTCCTCGGTCTCTTTTGGGTTTGCTGTTCTTTTGTAAAGGCACCCTTTTCAATCGAGGTGGTCGAGGGGCATCGCCTCAGTGCCGACTGAGCGCTCGAGAAGGCTAGGGTGTTTCCGTTCCTTAGTTAGCACTAGCGTGGTATCTTACAGGGGTTGGAACCCATATGAAATATAGGTTCTGGTTCCGAACTATTTAGGTACAATTATTTTTTAAAGGTTCCGGTACCGGTTCCGGTTCTGTGGTTTCAGTAATTTTTGGTTCTGGTTTTGAGTCCAGTTTTTTCGGTTTTTGAGGGTTCCAATAAAAATAAATTCTTCAACTCCCTTTCTTGCAAGTTGGCAATTCTACAACTTAAAATGTCAATCAGAAGGAAACGTTTTGTTCTTGGTCATCAAGTCGATAAATAATCAGTCACCGCCTCAACGACGATAAGGAATGAAAGCGGATATCACGTGTACATTTCAGGAAGTATGATATGCAGACTGATCCTGGAATTCTCTATTTATTTATTTATTCCACTCATAACTTCTTAAATAACGGTTTCGGTTCCGGTACCGGTTCTTTTCGGTTCCCGTTCCAACCCCTGGTTTCTTAGCACAGGTTTTAAGGTCTACACCGTAAGCCGTTGCTCAAAGGGCGAGGATGCCAAACTCCGATTTACAAAGTTATGACGAACTGAAAGGCCCCTTCGTGTCAAGTTTGAGGGAATTTCAGAACATGAGAGCAACTTGGGAGAAAACTTATCTAAGGCATAGGGTGGCGTATTTTACAAGCCATCTTTTGGACCCATAAAACCCTTAAGCCTTTTCAATTTTTGGGATTCTTCAAGTCCATAATGTTTTTGAGCTTCTGAAAATTGTTTGGGTTCCTCTTTTCTCAAATCTTTCTTTCGGTTCTTTGAGTTTTCCGGATTCCTCCGGTTTTTTACATTCTCCGATTTTCCTGTTCTTTGGGTTTCTCCGGTTCAAATTGTTCCCTTCTTTGGAAGAACTACATGAGATCTGCACGGGAAAATCTACGGTGGAAATTAAACTTTTCTGTGAGGAGGTAAATTTTAGATTAGACACATTAGACATAAATGCTTAAAAGGGAACGTGAAGGAAATTGGGGAAGGAAAGGCCTAATTATATTGAACGGGTTGCGAAACGTCCCAAACTTGGCTTGGAAGCGAACTGAAGAAGAACCAAATAGATGGATGCTTATTGACGTTTGGAGACAGAAAAACCAAATTTAGAGGAACGGCTAAAGTTTATTTTTCTACGAGGCCTTTAAGAATTGGACAGACACGTTTTTCGACGAACTTACAATTTCTAAGTAGCAATTTACGAAAATCCTGGCTGTCATACAATTCGTGAGCGAGGACGTTGTCGTTCAGTTCAGGTTTTCTTAGTGACTTGTAAATGTTTTCCAATATTTCCCGTATGTTACTCTCATTGACGGTTTCGTGAGCAACGTGCCAAGGCAGCGATGCCGTTAGAATGGCAAGAACGTCCTCGAATGGAACTGTGTAGACATATTTCGGGACGTAGAACGGCTCGGACGATTGATCCAAGTTTTTAAACTCATCCGCCTTGCAGATACTTTCATTGTCTTCGTAGGTGCCGGAGAAAATTTCGGTTAACGGTTCATCTCCACCTTTACTAACTTGGGTTGTTGACTCGGAGTTGTTGTCCTGCAAGTCGGACGTTGACGTGTAGTCTTCGATGATGACGCTGTCACAGGCATGCACCGTACAGCTGATCAAGGACACCAAAGCCGCCTCTGTCAGCTTGGTGACTTCCGCATGCTCCAACTGCCGCAGTATCTCCAATCGATCGTCGATCGACCTTTGCTCCATTATGCTTGCCACGTACAGCTGCCCCATGACTGGACTATCACAGACAGGATTACCATAAGCTAAAGTTAACGCTTTGAAGAATCCAGCGGCTACGTCCCGGCCTTTACAAAAGTCCAAAAGGAAGTTGGTGTAGTTGAAAGTCTCCTCGTCCACCTTGTACAGTTTCAAAATGAGGCTTTTAATTGCCTTCGTTTCACTCCTCGGCTCAAACCAAAGCGGGACTTGCCAAAATTGATAGTCCTTAATTGTCTCAGTCACGTTCGGGTCGCACCCCCTGAACAGGGTGCGCACGTGCAACAATTCCCGTACCGTCGGGAAGGAGACTTCCAAGTTGTAAACGATGAAATCTTTCCAATTGACAAACTCGACATCGCCGAAGATCGCCTTGGACAGTGTTGAAACCTGCTCAGGCGCCAATTTTTGCCACAGCGGAGGCACCATCGGACCTTTTCCATCTTCCGCATTGTGCACGATAAAATCTTGCAGCACGAAGACGAAGGGTCTCTCCGATATGCTTCCGTTCGGCGCCAAACTCGCGAAAATGTCGGTTAACGAGTGGAGCTGTTTCATTGTGAAAACGCATTCGGTGGTCGAAATTGGCTGCGCCTCGTACGGCGACGGTACCGGGTCGGGGTAGAGCAGTACATTGGGTTCGATGTAGAAGCGGTCGCCCTCGAACCGTAATTCGGGCTGTAAGTTAAGTTCGGCTTCAGTGGCCTTGGCGAAGACCTCGCACGCCGTGTTCACACTCTCGATCTCCCGTTCGTACCTGTCTCCGATCTCGGCGAATAGTTGGCGAAAACTGCTTTTGCAGCTTTCGAAGACGGTCTTCAGGTCTCGAAGGGATTGTTCCGCTAACATATTCACTCGCATTAACGTCCGACGGTGCTCGCCGTTTGTAGCGCATTGCCACTCCTCGATCAGGCGCGTGCCTACTGCCTTGACATCGTCGTCGGGCTCCTCGCATTTCGGAAGCTGCTTGCCGTCCTTCTTAGGGGAGGCCGCCTTTTTCGCGCTTTTTGGTTTGAAGTAGGCGTCGGCTTGTAAAATAATACTGCTAGCCGTAGTTTTCAACTTGGCGATATCCGAGGTCGAGATTGCCGAGTTGTGATGAATGAAGTCGTGGAATGGCGTGTTGGAGAAGTCAGTTTTGGAATCGGACAGCTGTAAAGTTGTGACAATTCGAGCGGCGGCACTGGCCGGTGAGCTGTGCGGGTCAGTGGTCAGTTTGCCAAGTGCCGTTTTGCGTAGAACGGGCTCTCTGCATGGCATTTTTGTGATAACCCCGGAGTAGTAGTCGATTAGAAATTGCAGGCTGTCGCAGCAGCGGTCGATTTCCAACTGCATGGCGGCACTGTACACGTTGACCAATTCCGTCAGCAGGTTTGTCAGCCAGTGCTCCTGGACGATCCTGTGGAGTTCAGTTTGGCACTCCTTCAGGCGGGTGTCGCAGATCTCGAACAGTTCGTTGCGAAACTTTGAAATCGCGCAGTGAATTTCGGCTTTGACTTCGGGGTCTTCGCGCATGTCGTCGTCAATTAGGTTGTAGTACTTCTGGAAATCACTTAAGAAGCTCTGTTTCGAGTCAGGTCGCGCGATAAACGCGCGCACGTGGTCTTGCACGTGAGATATGTACGGCATGACCGCGTTTACAAGAATCCGCTTCGTAAAGAATAGTTGCTTAAAATCAGTTACGTAGACGCTTTCCATATTTTCCCAAAGCGTCGCCAGAGCGATTTGAAGCGCTTCCGGAAACGCGATATCGAAGTACTGCCACGAAGGATCTCCGGGTACACCCGTCGATGCTACGAATATTTCCGATGGAACTGTTTCTTTTTGATGCTTTATCTCCTGCCCCACGAATTTTGCCGATTCGCTTAGGTTCGCCTCTACGTAGTTCAGGGTGTCACCGAATAATTCTTGCGAAGTTTTCGGCGGAATGGAATATTCGCCAATAATCATTTTGGCCAGTCGCTTAATAATGTTCAGTTCCAAATTTTCGTACAAAAGCTCATAGTGGCAACCCTGCTCCAGGTAGAACTCCTCTAAGGGCGTCTGTGGTTCACTACAGTCTGTGCCGACGCAATTTTCAGATTTAACGGTTATGAAAGCGGTGAGATAAGTGCGGTATAGGGAATGCGATGAACTTAAATCTGGTAGCAGTTTCGATTGCTGCAACTCCACGTTTCTGCCTTTAAGGCCCATTTCTGAGGCTTTAACGATTAAATCGGCGATATCACCGATGCTACCCGAATCGCAGCTTACGTCTGGCACGAACCCGCCTGTTAAGGCCTGTTCCAACACAGCTGCCTGAGTCAACGTGTTGGGATAGTTTATCAGCGCCCATCCTGATAAGTCATTCAGGCTCCTTATATATTCCACGAGCATTACGACGAGAAGATTGTCGGTCAACTCATCGCCAACATTCAATGCCTCGTAGGCTAACTTGCCATACTCGGCCATAACACTTAAGTCCACCAAAGGGTAGTTAACCAGTGTCTGGGTGCTTTTTGTTTCAAGTTTGAGCCCAGACGTCGCGCTTTGCTTGTTCCCCTTAACAGGAACGGTGAGCTTAACCGGGCCGGATCTGTTGAAATGCGCAAGCGCCGCTTCAGTATGATCATTCAGCGCGTTTTCAAGACTTTCCGTGCCTCTTTCCAACTTGTACGCCTCCAGGCACGTGTTGACAGCATCCTGCATCTCTATCACACGAATTTTGCGTTTGTTTAATAGCTTTTGTAACACTGGGAGGACGTTGCAATCGGGAAAACCGTTGATGCAAACTGCGACGTCAACCGCCGGTAACGGATGGGGCGATTGCGCCTCGGGGTTTTTGGTTTTTAAGACTCGATTCACATTGTGACTCAAGACGTTCATTCCGTGCTCGATTTGGGGCGAGTGCTCCTCCCACTGTGCGAGAAAGTCGGTCCAAGGCTTTTCGAAGTTCATATAACTTTCAAACTCTCGCTCGTCTAACGCTTCCTGTCTATCCATTTCGAAACAGTAAATTTCCTCCAAGTCGCTCGAAACGGGTTCGGGGACCACAAGCTCGGTCACGTCAGCTAGATAGGCAACTAGAGATTTTGCTTTAATAAACAAATTCCCCCACTCCCTCCTTATAGCCTCATCGGGATCAGCTTGATACTTCTCCTTATATCCGGCCGATATTACCGCCAGCGATACAAAATCTTCAACAATGCGTTTGCACATGTCATCACGCCTAGAAACGTACAGGCACATCCGTTGTGCGTACAGTCGCCTGTGCAACTCCAACATTCTTCCACGTTCGACATAGTAATTACCTTTCTGGTTACCAACGCCCTTGTCCCGTAAAAACACATGCTCCAAGAACTCATCCTCGCGCTTTTTTAACGCGCAGTCGTCCATAAATCTGCGATTCGCCAAGATGTGTTTGGCCTGCTGTCGAACTTCGAACAGTTTCGTGGTCATTTGCTTTTCGAAAGTGGACTGCTTCAGCATTTTCTTCGAGACGCATTCCTCCAGTTCCTTCTCCTGTTGCGCGAGGAGCTTACCCCACAGCTCCATTAGCAGTAATTTCTGCTGTTTTACACGTTCTTCATTTTCGTGCATCTCGCGACGTTTCCTCCGCTTAATGTTCTTCAATATTTCGGCGGCCGCTTTCGGATCCTCCTCAAATACGGGCTTTAAAGATGCCTCCTGTCGCTCTTTGACTAGATCATCGAAAGTAAGGTCGTAGTCGCTCGAGCAGCTCGAATCCAATCGCTCCAAGGGTTTGGAGGGTGGCACAACCATTTCCGCGTTGCCAAACTGATTGACCTCTTTGAGACCGCACTTCTTATCCAGATACTTCGAATAACGTTCGCGCGTCTCTCTGTATTTCTCCCGTAAGGCTTTGTAACGATCTTGGTTCCATTTAATAACACCTTGGTGCACCACTAACTGCTGGCATAGGTCGTTGTCGACGAATTCGGTGAGATTTCCGTTAACGGTTTCGTTAACCGTGCAAACGTCAAACCGGGTGTTTGTCGGGTGCAGCCTCTCTTTTTGTCTTTTCCTCATTGCGAAGAAGAGACCGTTTTTGTCGTGTAATTTCAAATAGAGCTCATAGAAAAGTTTAATTGCCACCATAGATTTTCCCGTGCAGATTTCATCTAGTTCTTCAGTGGCGCGTTGTATGCCGATACTGTGCAGCCACAGTTGGATGAGCTTGAAGTTTTTGGAGGCGATAACCGGATTATTAGTCGGGACTATTTGCCACGCTTGCGTTTCGGTGATGATGTTGTAGTTTAATAAAATTTGTGCGATTATTGTACCGTCCATTACTTCCGTAGAGAAGACCTGCGGGTCCATGTTCATCACTACCCCAATTCTTTCTACGATCCATGCCTTTATTAAATCCCCCATAATTACAGAAGCTGTGTGACGTTTTAGTAAGTTGCGTTGATATAAATACAGTAATTCTAATATTTAATGACATGAGCTGTCAATAGCCAAAACTGAATTCCTTTAAGATATACTTGCTGACAAAGTGCTGTTAACACGTTTTTCAGATTTTCAAGTTTTTAGTTGTTTTTTGCATGTCCCAAAACTTTCACTCCCGTTTAGGAGTACTGCATCTTGGAGGATCTATCATTTTTATTTACGTTACTTGTGTCATTACAAAGGATTTGTACATTTCACCGATTTGTTCGGACGATTCGTTGTCGAGCAAAATTTTGCTTTTGTTTAGTTAACGTAAATTGAATTATTCATTCTTATGAAGTATTAATTACGGTTTTAGTGTACGAGTAACATATCATATTGGACATTTTGTAACGTTATTTTTTTACCGATTGATATTCCTGATTTATATTCCGTTGATTTGTGCTATTATTTAAATTTTTACCCGATCTAGGTATATTTGTGTAACCCCCACTAGTAGAAAGATGCTAATTATTCTTGCAGTAAATTATTCTATAACTTAGTTCTTTATTTTCGCTGCTATAGATTTCTTATTACAATAGTGCTTTGTTTTACCGTTAGAGGAATATTGCATTAGATAAGGAAAATTCAGAATTAGTGTAGACATGACGTTTTGACTCTTCTTCGTATTGGTTAGTTTCGTTTCTATGCAGTATTTATTGGCTGTTAAAGTTTTAAGAAATCTAGGTGGGATTTGGTTTAAATACAAGAGACGTGGAAAGAGGACGCTTTTTGCCAAGCTCGATGCCGGAGTGCCGTTCATTTGAAAACGTGAACTGCTGTCCTTTATAAAATATTGAGCCCAAGTTACAGCTCTTACAGAAGTTTGTCATCTTGTTTCGCGTGCTTTTATTTAAAAGAGGAAAAGGAGTTAAGTTGCCCAGTTCGGGACCGATTACATTTTAAAACTAACAAATAAAAAAACGTATTATATATCGCGTTTGGATTCGTTGTCAGTGTGAAGGTTGTTTTGGTTTTCGTTTTTGCCGTGCTCGAAGAAGGTGTCTACGCAAGCATTTGGTTGGGAGCGATGGATGGCAATTTCAAGTTTTGATGAGGGCTACGTAAGGATAACCTTTACTACAACTGAATCGGGGACAGGTAGCAGTAAGCCCAAGTTTTTTCTATGTTACGGTGTGTTTTTGGTTCTGATTTTAGACATTTCTGGTCTAATTCCATTTTAACATGACTGTCATGGTCGTTTTTATTTGTGTTTGTAAAATATAATTTGTTTGTGTAATGTTACGTAAGTTGTGTGTTCATTCAAACCCTTTTCACGATGAAAGATAATTCTTATGCTCAACGACAATTAATTTTACTGATTCTCACCCAAAGTTCATTGTAGGCGTTTGTCAAAATTTGGTAACAGCCCGTTTAGAATTTAAGGATTTTGATTTTGCCGGGAATCAGAAATTTTAGGTCAGGTTTAAATCATTTTTCTGTATCAGGGTGAGGATCTGTACGGGGTAAAGTTATAATTGTGGAACTAGTTAGGTTTGAAGTGTTTTGTGTATGGCCCTTTTTGACCTGGGATCAATGCACATAGCAATATTGAGTATTAATTATAGTTTAGTATACGAGTACCTGATCAGTGTCAAACGTAAGCTTACGTAATTTTTTATTTCATTATTGCTCAAAGTAGTCGAAATGAACTTAACTATAAGATTCTAAAAAAGAACCGGAAAAATCTGAAAGCAATTTCGTAGAACTGAAATGATCCCAACACCATATGGACGTAGAAGAGTTTGAAACAATTAACGAATTCAAAATCGAAAACACGATGGGAGCAAAATATCCCAAGTATCGAAAGAAAACAAGGAGGGGATGAAGGAATTCGGCGAATTTTAAACAATTTTAAATATCCAATAAATGAAGAATGCTGTCATTGGAAGAATCTGAAAAGTCGTCCGATTTCAAAAGATCTTGTGAATGTGAGTTTAATTAAAAAAAAAGAAATAAATCAAAGAAATTGAAGGATCTTTTAAAGGTAAGAAAACACCGGAAGAAACGGAAGCATCCGAAGAACTTGAGTAGATTTGTTGAAAAAACTGAAATTAACCCATGAATCTGTGATCTGTGAGTTAAAGTAAACACATCATCAACAATTTAAGTCTTTAATCGATATAGATCAACAAAAAATTAATGAATCCAAACCGCCTGAAAAAAAACCAATCTGCAGTGTAAAAAAGTAACAATTTGAACACGAAATTTGCAAGAATTCAGTTCAACGGATTATAAGAGTCGCAAAGATCTGAAGAAACTTTGAAAGATCGATAGAAATTGTTTCATCTAAAGAAACCGAAGAAGCTTAGGAATCTGTTTATTTATGGAAAAAAAACTTTAACAATAAGACAGTTTTCGATATAAGTAAACCCCCGTTGGAAGTGGGGCACCTTATATATCCTAATATGGTATTGTAAACGAGGCGATTTCGTAATAATTTAAATTTTATCCCAAGATTTGTCGGAGATTCACAAAACTCATGTTACGCCACTGGTACAGTCCCGATAGTGATACAAGAACCACAGTCCAGATACAACTGTCAACTACAAAAACAATGTAAACATAACCTCCAAAAGTTGATTTTTGAAAATGATTTGGGGAACAAGTTTATGTCGAATATGTGCCCAAATTCGCAATATTTGCATTCCAATATTTCAAAAAGACGCCGATATAGGCATAGATATAAAAATAAAAAGATGCCTTGCGCTGAATGTGAGTAAACAGGGACTGCCCAGCCCGGTGTTGTTCATTTCTTGTAGATATCGCAAGACGATTTAAAGCCTCGTCAAGTCTGCCAGGAGTGCTTAATCAAACTGAACGACTTTTATAACTTTGTAGTTTTGTACACCGAATCCGATCACAGATTCGAAACGTTACTCTGCGGCTCGACGGGCGGAGATTCATTCTCGCAGCAGGTCATGGATTTGGACTACACGATTATTACACCGACACACTGCGGTAAAAGTGACGGTATAACGCATCTCGGCTTAATGGATCAGTGCAAGGAAATTGATCCATTTATTGACGTGGAGGCACCGGACGTCGAGCAGAACTTGCTTAATGAAATAGTGGCAAAAGTTGTGGATGATAGTGTAGAAATCGACCTGCAAAATCTTGTGGCGGCCGATGCCGGAATTTATGCGAATATTGCTAGTAAGTGGTTTTTGCACTTGGGGGGTGCTCTTTTGTGACGTATCCTTGGCCATTTGCTCTATAATCAATCTTTTAAATGTCCCTATTTTTGGTCACCTAAGATTAGTTGTGAAAGCAACCAAAACACGTTTTTAACACTTATGTTTTTCCGAACAGATATACCTCAGCCAATAACTTCGTGCCCAGTTATGCCCACCGAAGCGGTTGTTCCCAAGCCAAAGCAAACGAAAGCGAAAATAATTTCCGTACAGACACTGTGCGAACGTTACGAAATACGACAGCCGCAATACGAAAAAGCCCACGTGCCCAAACCGAAGCTGGCGAAAAACACATACCCGTGTATTAAGTGCGGGAAGATATTCACACGACGGCGCTGCCTGAACGAACACTTCAAGAAGCACAGCGATAGCAGGCCGTTCACGTGCGACCTTTGCGGTAAGGGTTTCATGCTGCAGTCTGATCTGACGTGCCATAAGCTCGTACACACTGACCTGTTCGGCTGTAAGTACTGCGGGAAACGCTTCACGGCCCCGAGCAAGTTGCAACGTCACGTTCGAACACACACCGGCGAGAAACCGTTCAGATGCGACGTGAAGGACTGCGGGCGCTCCTTCTCGGACAAGTGTAACTTGATCGGTCATCAGTTGACACACAGTAACGTGCGTAATTTCACGTGCGATATATGTAAGCAAGCGTACAAGACTAAGAACCAATTAAAGAACCATCTTCAGGCACACAGTGAGGTGCCTATTTATAAATGTAACGTTTGTGGGAAGTTGTACAGGTGGCGAACTAACTTAGTTAATCATGTAAAGACACACAGTGATAAAGAGATTAGTACAAAAGTCAGTTAAGGAGAGACAAATACAATGATGATACATCTAGGTGTTTGATCGCAGTTGTCTTTTTAGAATAAAATGTACAGTTCCACAAAAAAAATGAGGTTAGGTCTGATAACTTTTTTTATCTGATCCTGGGGCTTTATTTTGAAAGCGAAAAATTAGTCAACAATTGTTGTAAATAAACTTTTGTATTTTCTGGATCGATCTGAGACAATTTTTTTTCGGGGCTCAAAAAAAGGCAGTTATTACCTTCCTTTTTTACCAAAAATTGACTGCACCAAAATTTCTCGAGAAAACACTTTTTCTTATTAATTTTGGTGCGTAGAATCCAAAACAATTCGTACTTTTTCGATCGGACTTCTCAATCAAAAGTTATAGACTAGAAACCAATTTCGAAAA